TGCATGCAAAGGCCGATGCAATTGAACTTCCCACCTTCGGTCAATGATTTCAAAGATGTGTTTGTACTTCTCTTCATTGCCATTAAAAGAATTAGCAATCGCTTCTTTAGCCCAATCCATAGCTTCATAAATGTACCCCATGGGAGGCTTTTTCTCACCATCAACCAATCGAAGCACACGAACAAGAGGGTCAGTAAGCTTAAGAGAGTAGACAACATTTCTCCAAAATAAAGGCATTAAAATGATTTGTGCTGTCCTTTTGCCTTGTTGTTCTTTTGCCCATTTGCTTGTAGTCCATTCCTCTAAAGTGAACATTTTTCTCAAGTTACCTTTTTGTTGGTTGATCCTTGTTAGCGTAAGAAAAGCCGTAGCAAATCTAGTTTTTGCGGGCTTAATCAACTCCCTTGACTGGGTAAATCGTCTCATCATATTCAACAGAGTTGGACGGTTATAAATATAACCGTGTAATGCTATTCCTCTTTCAAATGTTCTCTTGAAGTTTGGCAACTTGAAGATATCTTCCAATACCAAGTCCAAGCAGTGGGCAACACATGGCGTCCAATATAGATTGGGTCGTTTTGCCTCCAAAAACTTACCTATTAAATAAAGATTTTTTTATCAACTAGCGTGCATAAAAAAATTCAATATAACAAGTAGTTATCTTTTTTTTTTTCAAGAAGCTCATACCTGCTAAAACATTTACTGCTGCACTGTCAGTGACAATTTGAATCACATTAGCTTCACCAATACGCTCTACAAAATTATCAAGCAATTCAAATATTTTTTGCCCATCCTTTGAGTATGTAGAAGTATCAACAGATTCAAAGAACATGGTCCCTTTTGAACAATTCACTAAGAAATTAATCAAGGTTCTCCCTCTCTTGTCAGTCCATCCATTGGCCATTATGGAACATCCATATTTTGCCCAATCCTTTTGGTGATCTTTCATCAATGACTTTATATGCCCTACTTCTTTGTTGAGCAATGGGACCCGAACCTCATGGTAAGAAGGGGGTTTCAAACCAGGACCATATTGTCCAAAAGCTTCAACCATTGCTGCAAAACTTTCATAGTTCACAACATTAAAGGGAATTCCCGTGTCATACATCCATCGGGCAAATGTTGTGATGGCTCTTTCTCTCATTTCCTTTCTAAAAGGATTGTTGGCATCAATATTCGTTTGTCTCCCCTTGGTCTTTCGATTTTGCACCACAACATTTGGATTAGAGGTGAAGTATACATCCATAGGCCCTTTTTGTCTTGGCTTTTTTGGTCTCGATGTGGCTTGTGTAGAACCTTGACTAGAACTAGTCATGGATCTTTTACGGTTCGCAACAATCTCTACAATATCATCTTCATCCTCCTCCAAGTCATTAGGCATCTCATCAAACTCGGGAACCATGTTCATTAGATTCTTCTCTTCCTTTTTTTTAGCCATGTATTCTCTAATCTCCTCCCTAACATGAGCAGGGCATTTTGGACAAATAATAACACTCGTAGAGTTCCCCGCTAGGTGTTGCTTGACCCGATAGACACCTCCATTTGACTCTTTTTCACAAAAATTCCATTTGAACTTGTTTGTGTTTTGAGGATTTACCAAGTGTGCATATTTCCATGCCGGATCTTTTTTGTTCCTTTCGGACGACGATGCCATTTATGAATAACACTATCACACTACAATCAAAGGAACAAAACACATTCACATGTACTGAATCACATTTCATATCAGTTGTAAATAATTTTATATTGACAGGACAGGACAACAAAAGAAGCAGAATCAGGACAGCAGTAGAATGCAACAACAAAAAAAAAACAGACGACTGAGGAAAAAAAAAATAGAAGCAGCACAGGAGCAATTTCATATTGACTAGACAGAAGCAGAATCAGGACAACAACACAAAAAAAAAAACAGAAGCAAAATGAGCAAAAAAAAAAAATCAGAAGCATTACGTTGTAAACAATTTCATATTTCACATGTAAACAATTCAACTTGTACTGAATGCATTAAGTCTTGCATTTTCATTTGTTTGTATAATTCTTATGTAGTCTCCGACCATATTATTACCAAATGAAACTAAGCTTACACATGATTATTCACCAAAGGCATGCCCCACCCCAATTTTTTTTTTCAAAATAAGTTATTTTTAAATTTATTTCTCAAATTCAATCACTTTTAAAAAGACATTATTTTAAATAACGCCTTCATGAATTAAAAGATTATTTGAAATAATGTTTTTAAAGACATGATTTGGCATGATGCCTTTAACGCACTACACATCAAATTTAGTTCAATATTTATATTTAGTGCGTGAAAAGCGTTATATTTAAATGTCTTTTAAAAATGACTAAATTTAATAAATAAGTTTGAAAGTGACTGATTTTAAAAAAAAAAAAAATTGAAGTGCATGGGTTTGGTGAATTCCTCCTTGTTCACAGAAAGCATATATGATACCAAAATCAATGGCTCCGCAAATTTAATAATCCTCTGCCCAATTTTTTTTGTATTTTCTATAGAATACCTACGAAGCATTATAGTGAGTTCACTAATCCAATGATGTACAGGGACTAATGAGAAAAAAAAATAGTAAAAAATTGATAAGTAAAGCCTTATTAATGCTATCAAATTATGTAAAGTAAAGGCACACCATTATACCAACAAATTATATTAGAAATTTAGATTCAAATAATATTGATCTATTATTCGAAACACGGGCCTAATCACCTATAATGATCATATCATGTGAGAGTGAGATGCCATCAAAGCTTAATTAAATTGTATTTCGGACTGGAGTTTCATTCACAATTTTTTTTTTTTGTCTAGGCTTACATATGATTTTAACTCCTTACATTTTTATGGGATCTTCATATGGACTAGAGTTTGGACAGCAAAATAAGGAAAAAGCAAAAAAAAAAAAACAGAAGCATAATGACAAAAAAAAAAAAAGCACAATCGGAGTAGAATAGGGTAGAATCAGAGCAGGATAGGGTAGAATCAGATCAAGAAAAAAAAAAGAGAATAAGCAGAATCGGTGAAGGAGCAGAAGACAGAAGAAAAAAAAATAGAAGAAGAGACTAGCCTCCACAGTCCAAACCAGCCCTCCAAACCCAACGATATCTCTGTCCAGCAGCAACGATGGTGTCGAAGCAACGAAAAACTCGAAGCTTTGGAGTGTAGCAGTGGAGAACAACACCGATCGTGTAGCAGTGGAGAGCAGCACCGATCGATCATGTAGCAGTGGAGAGGTAGCACCGATCGAAGTTATCTGAGAAAAAATGAGACAAAATTAGGTTAGGAGTTTTATTTATAGGATAAGGGAATAATTCGGTACATCAACATCTTAAAATTTTTTTTGCAATCGCCCAATCCAACGGTCTAAATTAAAAATAAAATATTTCGCCTCTTATAACAAAAGCGAACGCTTTTTCGCTTTTTCTCGCTTTTTTCTCGCCTCACTCACGTTCGCTTTGCCTGGGGTCCTCTGGGCGAGCTAATCTTGCCTCGCCTCGCTTCTCGCCTAGGCGCGCTTTTCATAACATTGGCACTGGCATTTAATGACGGGGGTTCTGTTCTTGCTGTTGGTGGTGAGGTAGAGACCCTTTTTTTTTTTCACTGTTCTTTGTTTCAAAGTTCAGTTCAATTCAACATATAGATCACGTAGATTTTCTAAAAGACAAAGTCTAAATATGCTTTTATTGAGTTCTATAATTATTGTTGGTACAACAAGTTTTGTGGACTTTTTGAATATTCTGACCTCACCGTCTATTAGTCACACGGTGGCAAGTTCGCACACACTAGCATGCACTCATGGACACATGCAAACATGAACATGTATACACCCTAACACATGACAACACTTGCAATTATGATTCAAGTTCGCGGTATCATTTATTTTCTTGAATAGGCAATGAGCTGCAACATTGCTGGAGGGAATCGGCGATATGCATGAAATAATAGGTTGAAGAATTTAGAAATGGCAAAAGATTCATGTCATATTCCAACATTGTGGAATAGTATCAGAGCATACATTGTGATCAATTGACAATGTCATCCAAGTCATCTAAAACATCTCTCAATCAAGCACAAGTCGAGGGTGACTCCTGATTTACATGAACATATAGCAGCCTTGAAACGAAAGGTTCCATAGTCGGATATGACTCTGCCAAATCATCTCGGTATTGCCTAATACTTTGAATCTTGCTTCCAATCTCTCTTTAAATTGGAGTGGTCAGTCTCAAAACAAAAGGTTCTATTGTCGGATATGACTTTGCCAAATCATCTCGGTATTGCCCAATACTTTGAATCATGCTTCCAATCTCTCTTTAAAATGGAGTGGTCATCCACCTTTTTTACTCTGCTTTGTTTTCATTTCAATTTTTTGATTTTTTTTTCTTTTTGGATGTGGGCAACTACTTGATCTGATTATATTGTCAATGAATGTGGTTTAAATGTATTAGATCTTCTTATTGAGCAAAATTCTATTGAAGTGCAGAACTAACATCTACAGGAAGTTTAGCATTAAAACTCCCACTGAAAATCTATAATGAATCTAAAGTCCTTGATGAAGTCTTTCCAAGACTTCATCAAAGCAAACAAAGAAGATTGAACATCAAACATAACGATTTGAGCTCATGCAGCGGTAGCTCAACCCCCTCAGAAGTATTTAAATTCATCTATGCCATATTAGGCAAAGAGGATCTCCATGTTGGCTCTACAACCTCAACAACAATACAACACCATCTGAATTGCTTGCGGCATCGCCAAAACCAACCCAATCAAGCGAATGAAAAATGCAACTGTTCCCTGACAACTTCATAATGCAGGAGCAAGTGGTTCACTGACTCCCCTCCCTTTTACTCCTCAACATCAATTCACACTTTCACAGGATGAGTAATGGAAAGAAATCTTCAAAGTTGTTTCTTGTAGGCATCTCTTTCACCAAACTAGGAAGACATGCATATTGAACCCTTCGCAATCATCCACATAAATTATGTATTGAACAATGCCTGATAATGTTTTTTGCTACAAAGTGCACATACATGAAGAGCAGAAGTTATTGTATGGTTTACTGATGGTAAGCCATCTTCTATCTCAAGATGCACATTTTAGAATCTGCATCTTGTAAAATATTTTCCCAAATGCAAGTCCTGGATCCTCTTGATTAAAGGGGCTCCCACCTCTGAATTGGACGAGGTGGATTTAGATTGAATGTATCGTTGTTTTCTACCATAGGCATTCTGCATTCTTGGTTTCCCGCTACCTTGTCTTTATACTATTCTTATGGAGAGTAGTTTTTTAGTATCCGTTTCTGGTGACAGTACAGGATGGCAAGTTAAGGGTTTTCAAATGGCCTAGCATGGAATTTATTCTTGATGAGGCTAATGCCCATGCCTCTGTGAAGGATTTAGATTTCAGGTTTGCAATAATAGCTACATCATTGTATTGAATTGTGTTTTTTTTTTTTTGGCTACCTGGAAATCATAACTTTTGCATACAAAGAGGTTCCTATTCATTTGTGATGTAAGTTTTCTCATAGAACTGGCTATGTTTATGTCTTGCAGCCCCGATGGAAAATACCTTGTCTCTGTGGGAAGTGGTGACCCTGGTAGGGTTTGGAATGTTGACTCATCAACTTCTATAGCCTCTTTAACAAAGGAAAATGTAAGAAATTATTTGTAAATTATATATAGTACATATGGAACCAAAGTTTTGTATAAACTTCTTGTTGGGGGCAGGACATTTGGCATAGCATGTATATGCTGGCATTCCTCCTCAAATTTTTTTAGTTAGTAGTTGGTGAGGTTTGATGTGGTTGACATGCAGTGCAGGGTAAGCATATGTTCCTTTAATGAAGATTTGTTCAGTTTGATGAATTGACCTATACCTCCTTACTGAACGTTTGGATGATGACTCTGTATGCTTTCTACATATTGAGTAACTTTTCACCTAGATAAACTTTCATGTAGTGTAAGTTTTCTTCCACAACTTTGTCTCTAATCAAGTTGTTCATCATGTCCAAGATGAGGTTTTTGGTTTCTGCAGGTTCTCACAAGCTAGTGACAAGAATCTAGTTCTATAATGTCACAGCAATGCGAGGTGGATAGAAAATATCAATTATGTTCCTCCTATTTCATTCCCAAAGCAAGCCCTTCAACTATACTCTTCTATGACCTAACCATCATGAACATTGTTTCTAAATGTTTAGGGCAAGGTGGAAGAATAGTGAAATGGAATACTACCTCATGGAAGAGGATGAGCTCAAAGCGCATTATTAGAGACCCAATTTCTGCTTTCAATGTTTCAACTGACGGAAAGCTCCTTGCAGTGTAAGTTCTTTATTATTAGTTTCAAGTGCTTGTGGCATTCATTTACGCTATTGTCTTAAAGGTAATTATGATATGGTTGTATGAAGTGAGATATTGAAACATGTGCCTAAGACATCGTCAAATTATGACATCTCTCATCACTCTTTTTTTTTTTTGTTGGGGGGGGGTGACATTTCTGTGAAAGCAGCCAGCGTAGTAACTATGTTGAGGTTTCTTGTAGGAAGGGTGCATTAGTCACTATCATCCTTGTTGCTAGCTACTTCATTTCCTTGAGCATGTTTTTTTTCCCTAACTTGCCATTGGTCAATATGCAGAGGGACAATTCAAGGAGATGTTTTAATTTTAAACTCCGCCAGCATGCGAGTGCAGACTATTGTCAGAAAAGCACATCTTGGCCTTGTAACAACGTTAGCTTTCTCGCAAGATTCAAGGTTCTCATTTAAAAAAAATTCATTAATTTTCTATTCTAATCAACATAAGCTGCAGCATGCCTGTCCTCCGTCAAAACTATAATTGATAGTGAATGTGTGTTTATAATATAGGTCTTTGGTCTCTGCATCCTTGGACTCAAGTGTAAGGGTGACAATTGTGAAGGATGAGGAAAAAAATGGTAAGTGCCTCCCTCGACTTTTCAATACTAGGCAACAAATATTAAAGTTGATAGAATTGATCACAAAAGAAAAGAGAAAGAAAAGAAGAGAAAGAGAAAATATTATTAGATCTAAACCAATCCGTAACATACGATTACATTGAATACTAAAATGTAAAGGCCCTTATATAGCAAGAAGTAAACTGTAATTGCTCGTTCTTCTACTGAGTAACGTGCCATGGTGTGAAATTTCATAAAGTAATCTATTAACTGCATGGTAGAAGATAGAAAAGGGAGAGAAAGTGTGCCAAGCTGAAGATGATGGCGAGTCAGGCATAGTAATATCATCAACATATGTGTCAGTGGGAACAGTAGCAGGAAATTGATCAGTATAAATGAGATCAGATTTATGTAGAGAGGAGGAACTAGATGGAATTGAAAAGAAAGAATATGTTCCATAAAGACAACATGACGAGAAACATATAGTTTCCGTGTAATAGGACCATAGCAACGATATCCCTTTTTACCCTCCCCATAATCAAGAAAGACAAATAAAGTTGAGCGAGCAGAAAGTTTAGTACGAAGAATACTAGGAAGGAAAGACAAAATAAGTACAACCAAACACACGTAAAGAGAAATAATTGGGTGGCTTACCACACAATTTTTCTAATGGAAATATGCTAGAAGTGAGAATGGTAGAAATGCAATTGATCAAGTGTACTATTGTGAGAACTACTTTTCCCCAAAAGGGGCTAGGGTCATTTACTGACAACAAGAGAGAACAAGCTGCTCCATAATGTGACGGTGCTTGCACTTAGCAACACCATTCTGTTCGGGGGTGTCAGTACATGAGGGTTGATAAATAGTACCATTAGATTGCAACAAATCATGAAAAGAAGTAAAGGAGTATTCACCTCCTTGATCACACCGGAAATATTTAATAATAAAGGAATACTGAGTGCGTACCATATCACGAAAAGCAGTGAATATGAAAAAAAATTCAGACCAACGTTTCATCAAATATACCTTAAGGAGTAGGAGCAGGTCCCCGTATATAAGAATGTAGTAAACTTGGCTAACTTGTTTCCACTACAATTCGAAATGTCATAACACTCTAAACTTTCCAGATTACCAGTAAAAGCCAAGAGTTTTAAACGTGAATGTGAAATATGACCAAGATGAGAATGCCACAAATTAAAACTAGATAACAGTGGACTCAAACGAAAAGAAGATAGACTGAAGTGGTGGCGGCAACATCTGGAGCATGTAGCCCCTCCAACACATACAGTCTTCCCTTTTTACGGCCTATCCCAATCAATTTCTTGAATCGTGGATCCTGCACAATACAACCAGAAAAAGAGAAATGAACTAAGAATTCAAAATCAAAAAGTTGGCTAACTGAGATTAAATTCAATGTAAGTTGGAAAATGTAATAAATATCTGGAAGAGGAAGTTGGGAAGAAATAACAGACCCAATACCAGCCACAGACATTGGAGTTCCATTGGCTGCAAGCACAAATACATAAGGAAAAGAGATAATAGAAGCAAATAAAGATGAATCACTAGTCATATGATGTGTAACACCTGAGTCAAAGACACAGGTGGTTTTTGATATAGCTAAGGGACCCGAATGGAACACACTTATGGAAGGAGAGACTGTGAGAGCACCAGGCTAATGGAAAGAGATGACCTTCTGCAATTGATCAGCAATCATAGTTAGATTAGGCGGGGCCTGATGAAGATGACCCATCCACTTGTAGTACAGCAGCTACCTTATGACGGTCTCTATAGTTGAATGGCTGATTTAGTGACCCCTTGGCACTCTTATTCACCAATTTTGGGCACTGAGCCTTCCAATGGCCCTTTTTACGACAAAAGGTACATTTATCCAAAGTAGCTCGGCCTCGATACTTGTGATGTGAAGTAGAAGTCACCATGATTAGCCTGTAAGAGTTACAATCAAAGACCAAGCAAGATTACAGCCCAACAAGCCATCAAATCAAAAACATCCAGCCAACAATTACAGCAAAACAGCAACCCACTATTCAAACAGACCAAACCCAATATCACAACCACTGTTCAAACAAACCAACCAAACTGAAGCAAGAAAGTCAAAATCCAGGGGACATACTCCTTCAAACACCGGAGTAAGAAAAGCCAAAACCAAGTCAGAAGACAACAAATTCAAAGCAAGTAAGATTACTAAGCCAGCAATCTAGCATATAGAACAACAAAAATCAGTGCTTAGATCAACCAGAGGACAAAGCCCACAACAGCGGAAACAGGTGTAGCAAAGAACAGGGATGTCAAAATTGAATCCCTTTGGTGGCCAAAATCAAGCCAAAAATTCCTCAAAAAACTTCGGGTCTCTCAAGAGATGATCATGGAAGCCTAGTCGCACCTCTTAGAAAAGATTTGAACCAAAAATTGTAACAAAAAATCCTAGTTCTTACAGATCGAAGAAATCTGACATTTTTGGCTTAAAATATTCAAAAAATAGACACACTTAGCAGATGAGTTCAAAATGAAAAACAAAGCATACCAGCGGAAATCCCATGAAATTTCAAGTCTAATGGTGGTCTTCTCGGTCAGAAAAGGATAAAGTCAGCATGATGTCATCACCAACAATGCTGGCCTGATTCTCTGTTGTAGGCAGATTTTTTTTTTTTTTACCTTTCTGCTTTCTGTAATCTTAAGTCTTGGATTATAACTGCTCTGATACCATGATAGAATTGATCACAAAAGAAAAGAGAAAGAAGAGAATGTATTTGGTCTAAACCGGTCTGTAATATACGATTACATTGAATACTAAAATGTAAAGACTCTTATATAGTAGGGCAACAGCAAAGAAAATGACTAAACTAATCTTAATACTAGACTTCTAACAATAGTATCTACAACTATTATGTTACTTGCAATGGTTTGCCTGCCCATATACTCAGAACACCAGCCATGGGCTAAAACCGGGTCTAGCTGATTTGACGTACATGAACTGTGACTTATGGCTGAACAGTATCAGCCCAAGGTTGAGTCTTTGTTTGAGTGACCCTATTTTGGGAGACTGGGAGTTGACCTTCAAATCTACATTATTATCAATCACACTCACCCCACCCATGAAAACCTTCAAATCTACAGACTAATTTGTGCTGATATATTTTGTTTATTAAATAATGTCTTAATGCACTATACATGTGTACTTCTCTTATAGTTGAAGGCATTGTTGGAACGGTTTCTTCTGGATATTCCTTTTGTTGGGGCTACCTATTAGACCCCAACTCGGCTGTGGGCCGAGTCAGCTGACTTGAACGTGACAGATTGGGGGCCCTGTTTTTAATTCCTTGAAACACCCCCATTGAAAGTCCTGCTTTCTTACATATTATTCTTCTCAATCTATGTACTTATTTATATTGCAGGACTGAGGTTGTGGGTTATTCTCTTGATCATCGTACTTGCAGTAGCTATGTATTATGCTAAAAGTGAAGGAATTCTTCCTTAGAAGCTCCTGTTTTCTCAAGCTAAAAGATGAGAAATTTACCTTCAGTGCGGCCAACAAAATGTTCTACTTTTTTACTTTATGAGAGGTCAGAATCACAAGTATTGTATTTGATTATATGGATTGGTGGAGGCTTGCTTGTGGGGGAAAGCAGTATGGAACACAGGTTGGTTGGTTGGTTGGTTGGTGTGGGATCCAATGTCACGACAATTACCATGGTAATAGCCTAGCTTATGACTACCCTAGGTTAGGAATGTTGGAACAATAATTTGAACATGGATTTATATATATCGTCTACAGATTTATCCTCAGAACAAAAGCTACTTTTTTTGTTTTTTTTATAATTGAATTTATGGAAATTTGTTCCATAATATGATATATTGAATTGGATTAGTTTATATATGATGGAAAACTCTTTTCCTTCGTTATTTTCATATCCATGTATAGATATTGTGAATATAGCACCTTGATTTGAGTAAATACTACTTGCAATTCACTGTGTGGCTTTCCTTTTGTCTTGTAAAGCTTTGCTTCTTGTATTCTCTTTGTTTAGAAATTAATAAAGTTGGGGTTTTTTCAAAAAAATAAAAATAAAACTACTACTTGCAATGTGAACAGCCATTTTCAGTTTGAGTGAGGATGAGTAGCTAGGATTAATTCGACAGGTCACAGCGGATGAAATCGAGAAGGTTGCTGCCATTAAGGTATTTTCACATACTGTAACTTTGAAACCAGACCCCATGCTTCATCTCATGCACAAGGAGTGTAGTTGGTCTGACATTCACTCATTCGTTTCAACAAGCCTGTTTTCCCTCTCTTGATTGTATACACTGAATCTTTTGGACTTGAATACTGCAATCTTTGTTTGCATTAGAAGCTTCTCTGGATGGATGCTCTTCTCGTCCAGTCTCCACCAAATTCATAGCTTCATTCAAGTCAACTGCAAATGTGTCGAGGCAAACGCCATTGTTGGGCCAGTTTAGACACCTCTAAAGATGCCCGGAGTTCTGTGATGATGCTGGTTGTGCACCACCAAACTCACTTTAGTCATCGATGAGACCTCCCCTGCCATTCAAGTGGTTTATGTGTGCATGTTTAGTACTTTTTGATCTGTAGTTGCATTTTCATATACATCTATGGCCAGGTTTTAGAAGCAAATTCATGGATAGCACATCCGTAAAAAAGAACTTAGTTTGAGTAAATATTCAATATAACAGTGATAGTGCGATACTAATTCAACATCATCACTAATATATGCTGTCATAACAAGCTTAACCGTTGAAAAGAATATTTACTCCTCTCAAGTAAATATTCAATACAACAGTAATAGTGACAGTTGAAAAGAATATTTACTCCCTTGATTCTATTCACTTCACGAATCATGATTTAAGACGTGATCTTATAGTTAGGAGTATCATTCGTCGAATCATGCTCATATCAGTACCCACAAAAAAATATATATGTTTAAAATATTATAAATATCAAATATTAATTCGACTCATTTATTTATCGCTCTTATTAATTTTTGAATCGAGTCATTTCATATCGATTTCTTATTAGTCAATCAGATTGACACCTATAGCCGTCTTGCCTCCAAAACCACTCATGTGAGATAAAATGAGAAGGTCATTAGTTGCCAGCATAACTGTAGTGAGTCTTCCAGTGCCACTGCTGATCACAGCAGTCCATGCAATAACCAAGGGAAATCACAACCTTGAAGACATTCGAGACTAGGTTTTTTAGCCGCTCAAAATAACCTGCAAAGAAAGGTCCAATTTACAAAATCGTAATGCTTATTTTTCTTATTATACCTTAGGAAAGGGTCATTACCCAATTGAATGCCAGTTAATAGGGACACTTGGAGAGGATTGCGTCCGATACAAATTCTCATCTACAAATTCAAAGGGTACAAACTATTTACACAAAGTGGCTCTCTAATTCGAACCCATTGTTAGCTCGATACCTTTACCATTGCACCATGCAATGGTGGTCCTGTTTGCTCTTATTGGTCGTCCAAGTAACAAACTAGATTACTGTGTAATAATATTGGGTACAACAATATGGTATTTCACCATGAGTACAATACAAGATTGTTTTATGCGTTCCTTTTCAAAATTCATGACCAAACTCTCAGCAAATGCATCAAAAGTACAAGTTTTCCATGGAAGGGAGCTAATAAACAACAGCCTTAGACAGTGTAAAAATTACAGTTCACGTGACGTGAATAAGTTGCTCAGAGAGGCTTCCCTCGGTATTTCTCAGGAGTTACTGTGAACAAGCTGTGAAGAAGCTGGGAATCTGTTGAGGTCAATTTTGTAAGAGGAAAAAAAATCAAGGTAAAGGAGGACTTGCAATAAATCAATTCAAACACGATAGTCATTGGTGCTTCCTTTGATAGACTGAATAGCCAACAAAAGCAGACATCAGAAATGTCCATAGCACCTGCAATTAAATAATAAGACAAATGTGCTTCTCAGATTGAGTTAATGTATGGGTTTTCTTTTTTTTGACAAGAAGGTAAAATCCTGTGTTAAATCAAAGGGTAACAATATCATGGAGAGAGTATGGTAAGTACTGCATTGATTGTTTGCCACCGTTCAAGTCTTCTAATCCGCGACTGCATGTCTTCAATTACACCTTCTAATGGAGAAACTTCCCTACTTGGTGACTCAGAAGCTGAGCTGCTAACCTGTTAGTCCACCAAAGTATTACACTGTAACATCAGTAAATGTAAAAGATAAAAATACAAGACTCGTGTTGGATTATTTATCCTTTCTACATGCAAATAATGCACACACACTACTGGTTTGTCAGTTTTCACTCATTTGCATGTTACTGGATGGAATTTTTAATAAATTAGGGTGTCTGGAACCACACATCCAGAATGATAATTCTTTCCATGCCAAGTTCTTCATCTTCAACTTCTTTCTTAGGATTTATATCAGAGCGGTCTTAGTTTTGAAGAAAGAAAGCTTTACTTTGGCCTTTAAATAAGAGATGGAGATATGTTAAAGGCAAGAGTTGCCAGCTGATAGACCCCAACCCTCCTCAGCCTCTCTTGATCAAAGATTTTGTTTCTGTTTACAAATATTTCTTCCTTTGCTGCTGAACATATATACGTTACTTAAAAAAAAAAAATGCTGTTTCAGGAGCACCGGGATTGTAGTGAGGGCATCTAACAACCCAAGTTTACCCAACACAAACCAAAATTCCCACCAGTGCATAAAAGCAGCTCTGGTGCTTGCCACTTGGCCTCTCATTTTATTGATTGCAGTCATGGACGGATCCTGGAACCTAGTTCAGGGGTAGTGATCGTTTGAATTTTTGAGAAGGTTTGTAGAGAGTATAGATATAGAGAATGCAGATATCCTAAGAGCTTCATGAATCAGGTTGTACGACCCGACTCAAATTTTCAATCCCCAATTGTAACTTAAACCCCAAATCGACCCACCATCCAATTGATTCCAAATTATAATTAACCTCAAATTGTGACCCCCACTAGTTATTTCTTCATTTGAGTAATCTTAAATTTGTACATTAATGTCTTTGTGCTTTGGATTTTGAGAAATACCAACATACAACCACTAGCCATCATCATTAAGCCTGTGTTGGAATATCGTTCGCATTTGAACTCTCATTAGAATAAAAAGAAAATGTCTGTAAACAATGTGTATATAGATACATCACAAAATATAATTTCAATATAATAGTGAAAGCAGTCCAAATAAGAGTACAAAACAAACTCCAACCCAAATAGTGTACTAAGCCTACTGCTATCTCACAGCCTATCAAGTAAAGTACCATACCATATACCGTTCCACGTACCAAATCGATTCACAATCCAGGTAACAACGGGAGGGACAAAGGATCTTAAAGTCTCCTCCCCCAACACCACCCCAAAAAAATCAAAAACAAATATTCATCACTGAATACAATTGTGTCTGATAACGACATGAGGAGGATAATGTATTAACCAGTTATTGTCTTTTATTTTTGTCTCCTTTCTTTTTAGATTGCAACTAAATCCAATGCCCAAATACCTTCCCCATTGTTTGTTTACCGCACAGTTTTAAGCACTATGATAAAATAGTTCATAATAATGTTCTAGTTTTAGCAGAGTTCAAAGTAATGTTCAATTTGGCATTATACCTACTAACAATGAATGAAAACAACAAGACCTATGGTACACATGTTGATGACCGAGCTTCTCAAGCTTGAGTATGTCCAGCTTGGTTCGAGCTTCATTGTGACTGGCCAAGCTCGGGCTTGAACCGAGCTTAACTCCCAAGCTTAGATTCGTACTCAAAATTGCCAAAGCAAAAGCTTGCGAGTATTCAAGCCGAACTTGAGCAAATACCGGACTCAGTTGCTAAGCAAAAATTTCAAAAGAATCAATCTTAGAACTGAAAATCATTCCTAAAAATTTTAGACTCTGTTTGTTTTGCATTTCAAAAAACAGTATTCGAAAACTATTTTTAGGAAAATTTTTAGAAAATAATTGTTTGTGTTAGAGAACTTGTTTGGTTATATGGTCCAAAAACAATTATACGGAATAAAAAACATTAAAACTTTTTTGGATAGTAATGTAGAAAATAATGAAAACAAAAAATATGGTGTGATGGACCTCGTGGTGGTGGTGGAAGGGTGGGGGTGATACGGTGGGCATGGTGGTAGAAAAGTGGTGGTGGTGGGTGGTGGTGGGAGTATGGGGGTGGTGGTGTTTTCTAAGTTCTGGAAAGATTATTTCAAAAAATACACAAAACAGCTCTAACTTGTTCTCTAAATGACTAAATCTATCCAGTTTTTGTTCTCAATTTTCAAAAAACAAAAAATTAAAACAACTGACCAAACAGTTTTTCTTCCAGAAACTGTTTTCGAAAACATAAAATAGTTTTTGAAATGCAAACCAAACAAAACATTAATTTATCAACAAAAAATTCCAAAATCTATATGATTAATAATAAAATCAAACCTTAGAACTTCTCTAACCCTTACTCAAATTTAAGCTCAAATTTAAATTTGAGTAAAAAAATCAAAAAACTTGCTCCAACTTTTGACTCAAACTTATACCAAATCAAGAGAGTCTTTCTTTTACTCAAATTTTTAATGGTAAAATTTCAACCACTTTTAAAGATTCAATGATCAGCTTTACTATCTTTTAAATTTGAGTTTATCCACATTTAAATTTGAATTTCTCCATTTTTAAATTTGAGTTTGTCCATTGGAGTTATTTGTATCAAATCAAACTTTTTACTCAAATATTAATTTAAATTTAAATAAAAATTTGAGTAATGGTTGGAGATGCTCTCAAAAGTTCAATTTTCCATCTAGAGCTATTAGGGATAAGTGTAGGGTTGTTCATATTTGGATAAGGGTTATTTGGAAAGTGTTAAACAACAATCTACTCTAAAAGCTTAAATTGTTGAAGAAAGTGTAACTTAAGTATTTATACTTCAACACGCCCCCTCACATGCAAACTAGATTTTGGGCCTAGCACGTGAAAACTCTTTCAATAATTAGGGTGACTACAAGATTCTAACACAGGACCTCCTGCTCTAATACCATGTTAAACAACCATCTACTCTAAAAACTTAAACTATTAGAGAGCGTGTAACTTAAATATTTATGTTTCAAAAAGAAAAAAAAGATTAAATTTTTTTATAAATAGGGACCAATTCGAGCCAATTGGAACCTACTCAAGCCGAGCCAGGTGTTACTTGGATTCAACTCATTTACAATAGAAACTAAGAAAATTGATAAGATTCAAGCCAAAATCGAGTCAAACCTCACCCGAGCTCAAGTTGCTTGGATTGCTTAAGATACCTAGGATCCAAAAAATAAAATGAAGGCAGATGTGATCACAAGATTAGTTTATTTATTGGGTCACAAGAAAATTTTAAAAACTTAAAACTGTTTGTATAGGCGTGCCTTACACTGAGATTTGTTCTAAATTTCAATTTACAATAGTAATTCCATATCGTTTTGCAAATTCGGATAACCATACACCAAAAAGCAGATTTCTGTTAACAGTACAATGAAAGAGTACCTGAGATTGAATAAATTCTACGAGTTCCTGCAACCTTGCAGCTTGCTGAGTGTGAATTCCATTTGAACTCCTTTCCAGTACAGGTAATCTCTCCAGTATTATTTGAAGGTAACTCTACACCGAACAGCACAAGAGTGAGCTTTCTATTCAAGCTGGCGTCAACTTGAAAATTAATCACATGCTACAAACAATGTAAGCATACAACCAGTTAAATATGTGCAAGTACAACCACAACCTTTGTGGTATATGAACCATCCAGTTGAAGTGTTGAACCAGCAATTGTGACAGTTTCTTTATTAACCCCTTTGATTTGTATGTAAGGACTTGGAGCATCTTGTAGATGATCAACCTCAACAAGAATCTGAAATATCAACGATCTTCTGATTTAGAACCAATTTCATGTCAGGAATGGCCACTTTAGAGCCTTAAACACTGTTGATGACCAAACATTATGAATCACAAGAGAAGTAAAACTCACAAACCAAAATGTTTGAATGGAAAACAAACCACACCACAAGTATAGAAGGAATATCACCAAGCATCGGTTCCCCCTCACCATTTCAAAAACCATGCAAATCGTACTTAAAGCAAGTTATCTAATGCAACCAAACAATGCAAAAAGAAACTAATAATCTAAAATAAAAGCATAGATTGTTGGTAACAGTTATTGAAATATTTTGAGTAGCAGAAAAACCAATGACGACACATCATCGAGCACTGAGGTCAAGCTTTCCCTTGGAGGATCTATATTAATGTACAAAATAAACATACCTAAAAACTTCAGGAGGAAGGGGAAATGGAAGAAGACTCAGAAAGACACTCAATAAGGGACTTAAACTAAAGAATACTTGACAGTAGACAATTGATAAGATAAGTAGCAGTAAGAACTATATCCCTCCAAAAAGATTGAGGAACATTCATAATAAACATCAGCAACATCAGAAAGATGACAATTTTTTTTGTTCATTAACACCATGTTGTTTAGGAGTACTCACACAAATAGTCTGATACAAGATGTCATTCTTGTTGATTCAATAACAAAATTCTCCATCAATATACTCGGTCTCATTAAAACTTCGAAAAATTTTAACTTTGGAATCAAAAATGGGTACTCACTATTTTATGAAAAGATCTAAAGCACGAGAAAGTTTCACCTTTATTACGTACAAGGTAAATCCAACTAAGATGAGAGTAACAATCAATAAAGGTAACCAACTAACGATAACTAAAAATAGACATAACACGAAAAGGGCCCCACACATCAAAATGAATAATGACAAAAGGAACAGTGCTTCTACTATTAGAACTAGGCTATGATTGTCAAATTCACAAGCATCACCAACAAGGAATTGTCTACTACACTACTTTACTAAATTAAAAAAAGATGCTCTAAGACACCAAATGAGAGATGCCCCAAACGTCTATGCCACTAATCTAAGAGTTGAATGGTCGAAACATCATCAGCCTGAAGACCTTGACATGTAGGCTGAGAAAAGGTTCCAACATCTTCGAGATACAGATCATCATGTGCTCAACCACTACCAATCATTTTTGTCAATTTCAATTCTTGAAAGGTACAATGAGTAGAAAACTTGAACAATTCAAGAATTTTGTAATCCTACTAGCAAACAATAGATTCGTGAAAAAAATTGGGAACATAAAAAACAGAGGAGGGGGATAAAGAGGGTGAACAATTGATTGAACCATTCCTGAAAATAGAGGATAAAGATCCATCTGCCACCTTGACTTTAACTCTACCACAACATATAGAATATGAAGAGAAAATACTAGAAGAACCTATCATGTAATCTGTGACTTCAGAATCTATTATCCAAGGAGTATATGAGAATGACGCAATAAACACACCAGCAAATACACAAAAACCCTAATTGACCCTAGTTGGGCTGGTTCAACCCAAAAATAGCAATTAGACTGTTGAAAAACCGCCAGATCTCAAATTTAAGTTGCAAAAACCAAAAAAATATTCAAAAAAAAATGAAAAATCAGTCAAATGACTTCAAAAAATTACAATAAAACTAGTCATCATACTCAAAAGAATCAATCCATCCTTGTTGAAATCGGAAATATCTAACATGCCTTGATGCTGACGTTAGCATGTCAGTGTCTGATATCTAATCTTAGGTGTTAGATCTAATTGTAGCTCTGATATCAAGTTAGATTGTGAGACGGTTAGGAGAAGACAGAAAGACAGAAAAATATGATAAGAGAATAGTGTGTTAGGATACACAACTACACCCAACTTTTATATATAGTCTCAAAGTATTAAACTACCCTTAAACTAAAAATACCACATAGCATAACAGATTATCTGATTCCGAAAAAAATTGATCGAACAAACAAAACTAATAAATTTGTTTTATCCGAACAACATGAGGTTGGCTGCACAAGTCTTTGTGGTCATTAAGCTCCATCAAGATTCCTATCCTTTACCGGCTCATTGGCCATTGTTATTCACTAATTACCTACCCAAATTCTTTGTCCTTTCCATATCTCCGTAGCACCTCCAAATAGAATAAGATGCTTCGCCCATACCATTATACGAACATGGTATATAGGAGAAATATGAGGCCCAAACTAAGAAGTTTTGCGCCCCCTTGACATGGGTGCATATACATCACACATCCTATGGTGGTTGCCAAAGCTCCCAGTGAACCGAAAATAGACCATAGACTTGGATCTAACAAATGATAAAAATGCCTCTAAGATTCAATCATAAACCACTTTGGTTCGGTTGTGTGTAAACCCCCCCATCACCCCCACATCCTAAAGTGGTAAAGGACTCTTTGGGGCTTCATTTTCTTTCTATTATTCATGCAAACCTATGTTCAACACGACAAACCATGTTAGCTTAGTCTCTGCCATCTAATACTCAATGTTTATTGAATCTAGCTTCTCATGGATGCTTCTATATTTGTTCTATCTATTTCATGTAGAGACATATCCGAAAATTCTGAACCTGAAGTAGGTGATGTTCATATTCTTAACAAGTTTCTTGGCAGGCCCACATTTAATACCTAAGTATGGGCTACCTCAGAATTAACTTAAGAATTATCCTTTTTGGTGAGATCAATACTCTGCTACCACAAACTACTTCGAAAAATCTCACATTCTCCATTTAACTCCAATTTATTGGAAACATCCCTTCAATCACCCCCTTCGTATGGATAATAGATCCAACATATTGAAAAGGTCGCCCCTGGAAATTCTTGGCCATCAGCTGTGACAACCAAATTTACTTTACTCCAAAAGATGTTTCTCTATAAGTTCTCTCATAACAACAGTAAAACCAAAGATCTCTCAAAGTACATGAGGGCAAGCAATTGGATAAGTTACAAATGAACTATATCTTATCAACAAAAAAAATGGCAGGGGTGATTTTTACTCAAGTAGGAGGAAAACTTGATCAAGGCGTGGGAAAAGAAAGAATACAAGAAAAACAATAGTTTAATGCGTTTTCAGGAAATAATGAATTCTATATTAGGACAGGATCAGATACAATTGTAGGAGGGTTACCAACATACCCACCATATTTTAATAATGCAGCAAGAGGCGGAATGGGTAAAGAAAACGACAAGTGGGTTAAAAATTGGAATCCCTCGATCTTAGGCCAGCATCCAGGCTGTGTTCAGGAATAGGCATACTTGATTAATAAACTAGCATGTCGCCTAATGAAAATTTGGACAAGAAGACTAAAATGTGCCAAAGCATCTTTTTTTGAAGTATTTTGGTATTTTCCAAATCCATTGCCATCCATGACAACATCCTCCTTTACTAAATTATTGTTGGACTATAGTCTAGTTTATTAGGGTTTCTGGGTTTATGGAGATTGGGCTGTTGGGTTTCTAGCCCTCTTGCTTGTAGCAGTATGTCAGTTGACTTATGGTGGGTGGTTTCGCAGAATGCTGTTTTTGGTGTTTAGCTTGTTGTAGTTGCTGGGAAGGATGCAGGGCTAGGCAGTGAGGCAGCAAGGTGACTGGCCTGCAGTGGTGGCTGGGTTGCTGTGGGTGAGCAGTGGTGGTGGCAGCTTGGTGGCTGTAGCTGTGGATTGATTATGGTGGAGGTTAGAGTTAGGGTTAGAGGTAGGGTTTGGTTCTGATACCAAGAAGAGGAATATGTATAAGTCAAAGGGATACTCAAACTAAGAGTAGAGCCCCGTATATATAGCCAAATAATAGTACAAAGTAACCTAAACATCCTTATGGTCTAGGCAAAATATAAAAGTCATAGTAAGGATAAAAAAAGAAAAAAGAAACCCTAATAAACTAGACTATACTCCAACAATTATCAACAATCTTGCTGCAGAAACTAAGCTCCTCCTAACAGCTACATAATTAGCACATCAAACTACAGGGAGCATAGATACCCTCGGAGTATGACACATGGCTTGACCCCACTACAAGATGGCAAGAGCCGCACTTCAACAATGAAGACATGGAAGGTAGAATATCCCCGCAACTATTCTCATGCTCCTCTCTCTTATATACAGCACCCCTCTCAAGAGCCACATTCAGTATGAATAGATGGCTTGCACCATTATGGGTGACTGCTCGCTATCCCATACCTTCCTAGACATAGACCCATAGTGACTCACAGTTTTGGATGGTCGTGGTGGGACCCTCCCACAGTCATCCACTATCCCAAAACACTCCAACTCGGTGTTCACCTACCCTACCTCATAACAATGTGACACAATGTGCAGTACAATAATGCCGAGGCATCTTGGAATCAGAGACCAAGGCACAACGTATCTACACCCAAGGTATCGCAGCTATCCCTCAGCTCATACCCCTTGGAAACCTAAATTGAAACAGAGGATTTATCATGGCATGGGACACACATTGAGGCACTATGCCATGGCATGTTCAGAATATGAAAGACTATTGAAGATGCCGTACATGACCTTAACCCACGACATCAAGCCCCTTAACTGTCGAACCCACATTCCCCTAACATGACACTCTTTTAGTTGACATTATGAAAGCTTGACAAGTTGAATAAAAAACCACCCCCCAAAGCTTGACCAGTTGAATAAAATTATTAAAATAGCACCTCCCAAACTAGTACATAAACCTTTTGAGTCGCTCCACTCCTTGTCAAATAATTCCGTATTGGATGGGTTAACCTAATCTTGGCGTTGCACTTGGGTAGGGTTTGGGCAAGACTCACATCCCAGCTGCCCCCGCACTCCTCAGTCCTCGCCTTCACCGTGGTTTTGTAAGGTCCTTTTACATATTGCCTCTTGAACTTAGGACCCCACCCTAGGGTGTAATCCACCAATATATCAACAATTTCTTATCCACTTCAAAAATATAAAAGCTTGATTGCCTACCAAAATAGCATTAGCTTCTTATTTGCTTCAAACACAGAACAAAGAGCACCAATTTAAACCACTAAAATTCCAACTCGTCCATAAACTCTTCATTTAGGTAACCGAGACACTAAAAATAGCTAGTTAAAGATTATAGTGGAGGACACTACTTTTTAATCAGGAACAGAAAATTGCATACATGATGGGAAAATAATTACAAGGAGGATGAGTAATCCACTGAGAAGGTAAAAGCAAAAGAAAAGAAAAGAACTTGCAAAATTACAAGTTACAAATAGATTTCCAATCCGTCCTAAAATAAACAAAAGAATTCCCTCAAAATTAGGACACACTGAAACCCAAAAAGATCCCTAAAAAAACGTTTTGTACCAAATAATCAAAGACCATTTATTTCCTTAAGATTAGTGCAGTCCTTTACAACCATATGTCCCAAAGCTTGCCCACACCACACATCTCCAACAAATAAGAGTTTTCTTAGTCTTCCGAAAACCTTTAAATTCTATCACAAACATGTGCGCAAGAAAATGATGACACGCAGCACAACTCTCTGCCCACAAAAATAATATTCTCAATAATTGCTAAAAGCAAACGAACAATGTAGGAGTATATGATCATGAGTTTCCTCACTCACACTGCACATAATGCACGACTGTGGAGTATATGATCATGTGTTCCTTCTAACAATGCCTCGCTAATATCGAGTTTCTTATGAGCAACAGCCATGCTAATATTTGAAATTTAATAGACACTTCTGCTCTCCAAATCATCTTATAGGGATCAAATTACAGAGTATGAAGATCATCAATTAGTGAATTGAATAGCGCTTTACAAGGAAACACCCCAGAAAGTACAATAAACCAAAAACTTCTATTGGAAACGGACTATCTCTGTTAATTTATTGTGTTCAAGATTATCATATGACTTGGGCACATTTGGGAAACTAAATCCTTGTACTTTGTTGGCCATAATTGCAGTCAGGCATGCTGTATGTATCTTTATGTAGATAATCAGATCCATCCTCTAGAGAAAATATGACAAATGTTGTCTTCAATCTAACATGTATTTTTTCTTCTTCTGCTGCTTATGAGGATGTTTCTCAACCTCTTAGAGCACCTGACCAATCCTCCCAACACATGCAGTCTATGTAGTGCAAATATATGGATAATTTCTCTAGGAATGGCCCAAGAGGGAGAAAACAAACGATGAACCTTCACCTTTCTAAAGTCACATTTTTTCCATTTCCACGTAATAAACTTTAAAACTCTTCAGTTTTTTTTTTTTTTTTTTGTCAGGTAAAACTCATCGGTCGAAAAGGTAACATCATGTAAGCAAGTTTGTGTAAGCTCATAAGCATGCGTGAATGCGACAACACATGCAAATGAACTTAACAGTTTTGATCAATACAAAAATAAGGATACACCTACAAGAACAAATCATATAAGAGTTCACATTTATCAGGAACCATAATCCATGGAAAGATGCTTCAATTTCAAAGGACAGGTACGAACTAGATCACAAAAGAATGTATCATCATATATTCACGAGTGTGAAAAATAAATAAGCTCATCTTATGTACAAGTGAGTGTGAAAAATAAATATGCTCATCTTATGTACAAGTGAGCCTGATCCAAAAGTATTTTCAAATCAGAGATATGCCCCTATAAAAGAAATATGACCTTTCCATCCTGGTAGATATAGGCAGATGCCTCAATGTAAGCAACAGCTTGATACCTGAAGCCACAAAAGGATCAAACATGAATCATGCACATAATGAACCTGCAAACTGCCATCATAAAAAATGAAAATGTACATAATAATAATAGGCTAAGTGGGCTGGGAAATGCGAGAATTGAGAAGTCAAAATGCTTCATTAATGAGGTATTCTACAAGAAATAAGGTCCCAGTTATCTTGGTACAAAACAATTTATCTCATTAATAAATAGACAAAACAAGCAAAAATTTGGACAAGTCCTCCTACCTAATACATAGAAAGTAGCAGAAACACAAAACAAAAATACAACCAAGCAATTCAGCTTGAGCTTTAGCTTGACCTTAGCAAATTGTGAGTCACAACCGACTTTTCAGTTTTCGCCCTCCCTAAATCCAAAAAAGAGGGGTTCCTTCAAAATCTTTAGTAACCGAAGCCCAAAGAGATGTTAGGAAATAAACTTAATCCCATAATCCTTCCACCACCTTCCATATATCATCAAAGATTTTAGCATTTCTTTTCAACCAAAGAATCATATAATAGCAAAACTTGCACAAGCCCACAATATGATCCCCTCTTGTTTATACCAACGCCCTTGAAATTCAAAATACTATGGGGAAAAGAAAAGACCAAGGCCTCACCCACTTCCCCCCTGCCAAAGCAAACCATGTATTCCATAATGAACTTCACTACCACAACTGCACAATTCACACCAATGTGGTGACAGACACGCATAAGGTCTTCTTCTTTGAAGCATAACATTGGTATTTATCTTACCATATGCAATCATGCAAGCACATAACTGTACCTTCATAGGCACTCTAGCCTGGCAAATCATCGTGGGAGAAACAAAAGAATCTGAGGATTATAAATCAAAGACTACAAAAGAGGTGACTACGAAAGAAGACCTTACAAGAAAAGACACCCAAAGAGTCCCCAACCCAGCTTTTATCAACCACCCCCTGATGTAGATCGTATTAGAGAAGAATTAGGGATGAGAAAAGAAAAAGAAGGGGATGAGAATAGAGAGAGAATTTTAAGAACATTCAATATCAATAATCAATAATCAAAATCTAGTCCCTCAACAAATATGTATGCCCTATATATATAAGGAATTCACAAATCCTATATATATAAGGAGATCACAAACTCTAAAATAAATAAATAATCAAAATGACAACTAAACCCTTAAAAGTTAAAAAAAATATTTAAAAACTAAATATTAAAAGTATCTAAATAACTATCATAATTAATCTATAATATCTATCCAATCCTACACGATCCCCATCATTCTCCTCCGGTTGAAAAAAACTCTCTTCCGGAGAGTCTTCAAAGTAGAAATACCCTAAGAGAGCAGGATGAAGATGACATAATGTCTCATCTAGAATGAAAGAACCATCGACCAGGATAAATGCAAGAATCTCCATCTGTATGAACACTTGCGAATAAAATAAGAGGCTCTGGAGTACCTCGATTAAGCAACATGTCTTTCCAATAAAAATCTGGACTAATACTAACATTCAATGAAAAATTAAGCAAATAAGCATTAGATCCAAACTCAAAAATAGCAAAATAATTCCCATTAGATTTGAACAATAGGCATTCAATGGGATAAGACATCAGTGACAAAGGAGTAACTATAACACCCTAGTGCTGAAAATAAAAAAGTACAGACTAAATTGAACACCTGACAGTAGGCAAAGAATCAAAATTAACACTCTCAAGTGAGGCAGAATCCAGAACAATGTCAACAATCTCAGATTGGGAAGAATCTGTAACAAAGTCATGATGACTTGGACAAGTAGACATAGAATAGTCACTATTAGATTCCGTAATAAATGACTCGATTGGTTTAATATCTTGCATAGGTGTAGACTCAACAGACTTTTCTACAATTTTCAAGATCAATGATGGTTCAAGAATTGACACAAACAAAGACTCACACACACTTTCTTTCGAAATGGACTCTAGTGGGTGCAAAGGAGGAAGACTCTGATATGACAAAACTAAATGAGGGAGTTGGAAGTCCATATAAGTAACATTTTTCTCTTTATCTGACACTAAAATATCTAAATCCTTTGCCACATTCGAATTAGAAAAGCATGCAGAAACAACATAGACATCGTTTAAGTAATCATGATCGCATTTATGATCAAGGTATAGTTGAATTTCTTATGAAATCTCTCAACCTTTAGAGCATATTGATAGACTGCAACTAACGTATTAAAAGCGTATTGTTTAACTTCCCTACTAATTTTTTGTCTCAACCCAAAAATAAACTGATCAATTATCCAAGGTTCTTCAACAATGTCACACAAGTACATGAGATAATCAAACTGGGCAAAGTAATCAGAAACACTAGAAGAATGTTGTCTAAGATTGAGCCATTGGTCATAAACTTGATCCATATAGGAAATAGGCAAATACTTCTCTTTCAATTTATATCTCATTTCAATCCAAGTGATAGGTGATTCTCCTAAGGGGTCTAGGCTTCTTTGGATTGTTTGTCAATACTTCTTGGCAAAACCATCCAACATCAATTTAGCAAAACGGAAGCAATGGGAATCCGACATGCCATGCCAATCAAAATATTCTTCTAAATTTGCTAACCAATCCAAGAATTGATTGGGATCCGGAGTACCCCAAAATGTAGAAGGATCTTTAATTCGTTTGGTCATATGGGTTGACTCTATGTAAACATTCTTTGACTTCCTATGATGATGACATTGAGGAGAGATTCTTGAAACATGAGTATTAGAGAAACTCATGAGTGACTCTTGGAACAAGGGAATGACGCCAAAACAAGTTCAAGAATGTAATTGATAAATAATTTGGATCCTTTGCCAATTTTTTAAATTTTTCAATGAATAAAAATATCAATTTCAAATTTCTATAGGAGTATGCATATCATAATCAAGAAGAAATTCTGAAACTTTTTGGGAATGATTCTGTAATTTTATGGATTTGTTGGGAATATTTTTTGTAATTCTAGAACTTCTAGTGATGATTCTGTAATTTCTAATATTTTCTAGTAGTGATTCTGCAACTTCTGAAATTTTCTGGGGTGTTTCTGTAATTTCTGAAGACCTCTTGGGATGTGTCTGCAATTTTTGGGACTTATGGAGATGTTTCTGTAATTTGCTGAATCTGCTGGAAACTTTAGTTCAAAACTTAACCCACCAGGCTACTGTTACAGCGACGAAATATGATAAAAAATTTTGTTTCTTCCTTTTTTTTCTTTTACTGATGAACAGCGTTTTTGGATGAACAGTGCGCTGAACAGTAACTTTGTTTTTTTTTTTAATTTTTTTTTTTTTTTCGAATCGAAGTTGGGCTCTAATACTAAATTGATGTAGATCGTATTAGGGAAGAATTAGGGATAAGAAGGGAAGAAGAAAAGGATGAGAAAAGAAAAAGAAGGGGATGAGAATAGAGAGAGAATTTTAAGAAGAACATTCAATATCAATAATCAAAGTCTAGTCCTTCAACAAATATGTATCCCCTATATATATATATGTAATTCACAAATCCTATATATATAAGGAGATCACAAACCCTAAAATAAATAAATAATCAAAATGACAACTAAACCCTTAAAAATTAAAAGAAGTTACTTAAAAGCTAAATATTAAAAGTATCTAAATAACTATAATAATTAATCTATAATATCTATCCAATTCCTACACAATCCCCATCACCCCCAGAGTCAAATTGATTTCAAAAAGAATACAAAAGAAGTGACATCCCGTCCAAAGTTTCTCAATCACCTAGTTTGCTAGCCAAAATCCCGAGGGTGAATGTGAACTAGACCAAATCATATAGAGGCAATATATACATCATCAGCAGAATATACATGATATAGATGAGGAAACATACATGATAACAAAGACACCCCACCCAATTACTAGTATCGCACTCATTTCCTTTCAATCTATACTTGCTCTTGATAACAAAATGCCATAGTAAAAGAAGTTCTCAAGGGAATCTCTTAAGTCATTTCCCGACTAAATCAACATTTCTTCCCTTAAAGTTTTTAAAAATCTGCCTCTATAATTGGGTTTAGATACCACCTCCCAACTAATCATGTGATCTGTCTTTCCCTCCCCACCGCAAAGAAAATCCCTTGTCATTCTTCACAACCCTTATTGCTACATTTCCTGATATCCTAAAGAGAGATAAATAATAATTAGAACTAAACGGAATAGATTACACTAAAATTAACCTTCCCCTTTTAGAAATAAAAGCTCTTCACCATCTCCAACATTTCTCCCACCTTTGCAAGGGTCCCAAAAAGTCAAAGATACTACCCCCCAAAGGAACACCTAAATACTTCAAAGGTCACTCCCCCACAAAACATACCAAACAATCAGTCAATCTAACAATCTTATCTGCATTAGAGTAAATGACAACTATCAAGCTTTTATCCCTATTCACCTTTGACCATGAAACTATGCCTGATACCTTAAGCCTAACAAATGTATATTCTTCACTCAGCATTTGCATTGAGCTACAACAAAGATTATAATAACAGCAACAAATAGCTTCAGTCTCTACACTCGGTGGAAACGTATGGTATTTCTGGACACAAGGATTTATTGTCAGACTCTAGCAACTCCCCACAATTCAGAGGAAGGCTATACATTTGCATGCTACTGGACGTACTATATCGGGCATATATATGGTTTAGTGAGTAAGCATTATGCCAGGATAACATTGCCACCCGGCGCAGACTTCTTTCTTCTATTCTGAAATGATGAAACATTATTTTCTGAGTGCCTCTAAGCAAGATGTTGACAATATTGCATCTGTAGTGCATAAAAAAAATACTTGTCAAATCTAATTTATGAAGAGAAAGTGCACATACAAACGCATTTCAGCTTTGAAACATAAGAATTAAGTATGGACATAATGGTATTGCGAAAAAAACCAATTAAAATCAACCTCGAAAAACAAATATGTGACATACCCAAGGTTAAGAAGCCCAGCAACTGTATTAATGCTGATGTCAAAATCCACTTTTGGTTGGATGATAAAATTCCCTTCTCTTATAGGCTAACAAAAATAATTTGAAATTCAGTGAGTATATAGTACAGTAATTTACAAAACGAAGGAAAGCGCAATGCATATTTAACAAAGAAACAAATTTCCTACAAAATTAAACTACGAACCTCCCGTATGAGCAACGCAAATCTTCCTTCGCAAATTCTGACTCTTATGCAGTCACTTTCCGTTAACTGGCCATTAGCAGGTATTCCAGGTAGCCTTAAATAAATGTCAATAAAATTCTGAACAGAACTGCAGATCTTTGCAGGGTCAAGGATTTTTAAAATATCTTGATAAGCCACCTGTTATTCAGAGAAGTATGTCATAGAAACCGTCTTACTTAAGTTCGGGGCAGAATCACTACAAAATGAACTTACTTGCTTATTACTTTTGAGCATAAACAATGAGCTCTCAGGAGAAAGCACAGGATCAAAGTCATTTCGAATTTTCAGCTGCAATAAGATAAAGAAAAACTTTGCACGATCAAAGATACTTCTTGATAGTTACAAGCACTTTAAGTGGATAAACAGTAACATGGTAATATATGTAACATGCTGATGGATACTAAGGTTAACATCTATTTTTATTTGATGCTAAGATTGAACAAAAAATCAATGGAACATATGAGACAAATAATTTAAAAAATGGACCATAGCCTGCAGTAGTTCCATTATAATCAACTAATCAAGGCTCTATACTGTGTCCACAATATGAGGTTATCCAACCTTAAGCATAATAGATTACCTAAACAACTATACAAATTTCAGTAAAAGTTAGGATCTGTTGTAAAAGGAACATTGAATTTTGTCAAAAACCAAAATCCTAAAGCCACAGCAACTATTGGAATATTTCCTTTTAACTTCAACCATGAAACAATTATAGAATGACTTTCAATCAACTCACATGTGCATGAACAAGATGTGGTTCAATGTGCTGCTGGAACATTGGGAATACTGTCGTCATAATTTCATTTTGGGACATAAAGCACCCTACTCTACTTTTGTCCCTTTGAACTCGAGAAATCAGATGTGAATGAACACCTCCAACCTGTTTTCCGATCAAACAAGTACTTCTCCTCATCATGTTTTATTGACCTCAAACAATATGCTACTTAATCAATATCAATTTAAAGCAAAAGCCTCATCAGATAGTCAAAGTCATCCTTACAACAGCAATCCACAAGTCCAAAGATTTCCTGATATAAGGGTGCAAAGCATAAACACCTTCAAAAATAACCTGGTAGAATTAGACAGAAGCATATTATCAGACACCAAATAACAAGGACCAAATCATATTAAACCAGCATTACCAGTTCATATAACTAAGATCATGTATTTCATTAATTATAAAACAGTAAAGTCTACTGCACAAAGAACTGTTCCCTGGCTCCATTGCTTCAGCCTTAAAAAGTTCTCATGAAATTATTTGATATCAAAAGAGAAACGAGCAAGAGATTAACCTCAGCAAGGCCTTAAGATATCCAAGCAAAGATAAGAGTCAAAATTACAAAATGGGGTGCCATGAGGTCCTCAAAGTTTAGTATGTCATGTTTTTCTATTTCATTTCCAATTTGTTGGCCTATTAGAATTAAGGTAAGTTTAAAGAAATACAGAAATTTTCATATTTGTACCACTCCGCAATCTTCAGAAACTTCAAGTTCTTTGAAGCCACTTCGAGCACCATTTTCCAGATCAAATACAGGTACTTTTGTTCTTCGACAGTTCCTTATGTCATCAATATTCTGTAAAGAAGTCAAAGAATAAAACTGTCAAAATACCCAAAGGGTCGAAAGCATAGTTATTGAACTCGATGCAGACTTCAGCCCAGAAAAGATATCAGTTCAACGGTTAGGTCAACTGGTCAAACCAGTTAAACAGTAAAAATTAATTATTAAATTATGCTAAAAACTTGTAATACTTGGTGAAATAACATATTTTATACAGAGCACGGGACTAATTTCAGTCACTTCACAATCGTTAACCATCCACATTATTTGTCTACCGACATTACTCCTGACCCAAAGTAGATCACTGGACTAAGGAGTAAACTATAAAAATCTTTATTCTAGTACATACAACAATGAAACAGAAAAGCCACCAATCTTGACCACTGGACTAAACACGCAGATCAATTTGGCATATAGAGCAGACTGTAACCATTGTCACAGAGTCGCTGACATGCTTCAAACTTGATCGCCGAACAGTAAAATGGTTTTTAGGTTGATAAAAACATTACATTACCCTACAAACTAAAGAGTAAACTATAAAAAATTCAGTCTATTATACAATGAAACAGAAAAGCCAATCGGTACTTCAACTCTTTAAGCAAATCTTGCCGTGAAAGACAAGGTGAAAAAGATGAGAAAGAGATGAGAGAAGTTGCTTGGACAAGGAACGGCAGACAACAGACCTGGGGTGGAATCGGCTTGCTGAGTCAATGGCAAGCAAATGAGTGGCCACACACACACACACACACACAGAGGCATGTGAAAACATGAGATCTGATTTAGGGCAAAAAATTTCAGTTTTCATAGAGAGCTCCGAAACCGCCCGGTTTGGCAAAAACCATCCACCATGGAGTATACGGGTCATTTGACAGGTCTTATACTTAAACAGTCCAATAAGCAATCCAGCCCGGCCTGGGCACCAGGTTTCCGGGTCAACCCTCCGGGCGGGGGCAGGTTTAATAACAATGGGCGAAAGTTTCTGCCATAAGATAAGTAAAGCTTAGCTGTAAAGTCTTTGAAGTCCCTAGGTTAAAACCACTGTTTAATATTTATTAACCATTGCATAATTATAAATCTCAAGTAAAAACAGAAACCATATCCCCAAATCCCCGTTGTTAAAATCCATACTTGTAAATGAGTGGGGAGATCTATCAACAATATAATCAAACTTGGTGCCCCTAATCTTTCAATGTCGGATACAAACGTTCTTCACACCCAGCCTCATGTGTAACCTGGCCTCACATATGGGGTAACAAACTCATACAAAACACTGCAATAAAGAACGCACATAATATTGTCTTACCTTTGAGAGCAAAGCTACATCAAGTGAGCTGAAGTCATCATACTTGAAGTCCTTCACTTGCTCGGATTTGTAATAGCTTTCAAGGAAAACAACTTCACAACCAACAATATTTGCCATCTTGCGAGCCAAACTAGTCTTCCCCGATCCACTCGGACCCCCTAAATCAACCAGACAAAAGGAGCATATATATTCCTTTCTGAATGTGGGTATAACATTATAGGTATGAGAGAGAGAGAGACTGTGTGTGTGAGTGTGTGTGTGTTGTGTGTGTGTATATATAGAGAGAGGGAGAGAGAGAGAAACTGTGTCAAAGATAAAACAATCTAAACCACAAAAACTTATCACCGTAAGATGTAAAATAATTTCCAGTAACTTTCACTCTTAAAGATGATAATTTCCACTAGTTTAAAGGATCCTGCTTACGAGTATCATGGCGCACACACCAGAGCAAGAAAGATGGCTAGCCGAACCAACAAGCAAAGTTCTATCACAACCACTTAAATGGTCATGTTCCTTACTCATCTCCTGAAGCAATCAACCTAACAGTAAATTGCATATGACCAGCAAAGGTTTGCCTCATACACTTGCACTCATAATGTTTGAATCATGACCTTTTGACTGTTTTGATATGATTATAAAGAACACCGAATAAAATATATGAGCATTCAAATGTTTAAAAGTGATTTTTTTTGGGTAACTAAGCAGGACCTTATGCTGGATGTCAATTTATTTAAAACTCAAAAGCTATCGCCACACCAGATTAGGACAGAAAGCAATTTTATAGCCACCATATGACAGAACTCATGAAGTAAATCAAGTTTATAAAAAATGACAGTTTCACCACCTTAATTTCTTAACATGAAGGGAAAGCTGAAAGCTATATTCAAGAGACCATCAAGATCAAACAAGGAAACAGGAATATATTTACAAAAACTGGAACATCCTCCAAACCACACAATAAAACATCCAAAGGCATCTACTACCTTGTTTGACAGCAAGAACTTAAGCTTCCAATTTTTTGTGCGCAAATTTAAGCTGTCAATTTTGATAATGCTCAATGATTGTAAATAATATATCTAAAAAGAGTAAGAGAATTTAATGGTTAAGCTGTGATACGAAGTTGTTTAACTAGGACTCATCAAATGGTGGGTCATAGTCTTCCTTTTGAATGCGGAGCTTCTCTTCTCCTAAAGCAGAAAGGTTGGGAACCCACTCTATCATCCTATGAGTAGCCATCTTAAAACAAGACTCTGCATGGCCTCACACATCAACACCCAAAAAAATATCTGGGAATGGGCCCAATGGAAAGAACAAATTCATGCTATGATCATCCAAATTTTACCATTTCAGATTTTCATTTCCTATGATATTCCAAAGAACAACAAAAAATGATCAAGAGAAGATGAAACTGTGCATATAATAATCAAAACTAGTTTGATCAAGCTATTTTGTTCTTGCACGGCTAATTTGAACAAATTAAATATTGGGCCATGATCATCTCAGAATGCTTGAGAGCAAATAAGTCCAATCTCAAACACAGACCATGTAGTCATTGCAAATCCTCACCAAAGTATCAAGATTTACCATTTATCTTTGTCCATTCAGGAGATCATGTAAGCAATAAAACTTATAAGATGGTTTTAAAGTCCCATCCTCCAGAAATTGACGAATAATATTTGGGGCCTGTTACAACATGTGGATCACTAAAATGTTTAGTTAAATGAATAACTGAATTGAATAACAGGCACACAATGATTTCGTCAACTAATTAGGAAGTTGACAAAAGAAGTCAATTTGAGGTTATCCAAAAGTTGGGGGGGTTCTATTTATCAGACATAAGGACTCAAAAGTGCAAATCAAACCAAACTACATGAAGCACATAATTGATTTAAAATTTGAATTAAACTGACAGATCAGAAATTCTTTCTGAGGCATTCACGAAAAATACACACTTAATGCATTTAAAAATTAACAACACACATTCAAAAGTTTATTTATGGTCTTACAAAAAGTCAAAGAAATAGGAGGAGTAGCATACATCAAAGACATTTAACTTCATATGCCTTTCTAACTATATCTACCGATAGTAATACAAGAAAAAATTATATTGAACGGAATAGTTAAAAAGAAATGATAGCTCACGATTTAAGGTAAAATATGGCCCTGATATAGCACAACGGAGAAACAAAATTCAGGTAGCCGACCCCAAAAAGTTGGGATAAAGGCTATGTTGAGTTGAGTTATATATTTCTCTAACTAAAAAATTGAAATTGTTGATTATACTTGTCTATTTTTGTGTGTGTAGCTTCTTCAACATGTCAAAATCTTGAAACAGGTCTCTTAGAACCTATGTTTTCACCCTAGTCATAGAACTATTCAGCTAACTTTTTACCAAGGGAATAAACAATAAACTGATCACCTATTCAAGAAGATTTCATAAATCCTACATTTCTCATATAATATATGTTGATGATGTACTCATTTTCATAAATTGCTTCGTAAGTAATAACGTGATGGCTCTATCATTCTTGGCCACCAGTTATAGGGTCAAACGAAAATCATTCGTACTTTTGACTTTGTGTCAAAAAGTTCCCCCACAGTAAGCAATATGTATGTTGAATAAAGAAAACCCTCACATTGTCACTTTCTAATTAAACATTACCGTTTCCTTCATCTTCCATCTGCTTATTGTAATCTCCTAATTCACAGAAATTTCAGCAAATGAAATCGTATGAGCCATCTTTTCAATTGTCAATGATACTCATCAACAGTGAATTAACATTCACAATCAGCACATCTCTTGACTCTTCATCCTCACATAAAAAGTTAAGGCACGAATAATGCTTTCAACAATGACAGTGTCATTAAATACATTTCACTTGATCAATGCCACTACATAGCTTGAAGTTGATTGACCTTTCAATTTGTAAATATTACTCTTTTCACCCCATTTGATTCCATTTCATGAATGAGTTGTCAACTCCAAAAAACCTCAACCCCAAATCATTGGCTTCTAAAAAATTGATTGATATGTTTCAAGTCCACTCTCTCACTTAAAGCACTCAAAGTGATACAATATATCTACATGAGTTATTTGAACTGACAACTATTATGTCAATAAATTTAAAAAAAATAATTAACAACTTTTCATTCTAAAACATTAATTTCCTCACAAAGGAAAATTTAGTTTACTATGAGCAGCTTACTGGTTGCACCATACACGCTCAGGGACGGAGCCAAAAAATTCTTTTAGGTGGGCACTTTATAAGTTTTAATTTTTTCTATCAAAAGATAACAGTTATATGATACATTTATATTTCATTATATTATATTTGATACTTAAAAATTCAATAAACATAAAAGGACCAAACATCAGAATACATCGTGTATACTAACAAAAAATAAAAATAAAAAAACCTTTTATAAATAATAAGCTTAATGCAACTATTTAAACTTTTAATATTTTAAAAGCATTGCATAAGAACTTCATTACTAATACCATCAAAAAAATGTCTTCCCATATTTACCCAATCATCCCTCATCTCTAATTCCAATACTCAATTGAATATTCTCCTCCCTTTCAATCTCTCTTAGGTGGTGGCCCGCTTTAGTCAGATTAGAATAATCTCATAGAAAAACATATATATATATATATATTTGAATTTTTCTAGCTCTAATTAATTTTTAAATTTTAAGTTGTGATCTTGATTTTCATATACTTACAATAATATTCATACAATAATAAACTAACTACCTTAATTTTCATGTACTTACAATAATATTCATACAATAATAAACTAACTCCATAATTTTTTGAAAAAATCACAAAATGACTCTATGTTCAAAACTTATCCAGAAATATTTGTAACGTATCTGAAGTATGGTCAAAAGTTATTAATCATGTGATTATCATTCTATTTTAATTGGTATTGTTAAAAATAGTAGGGTGGGCATACCTACATATACTCAATAAATATTTCAAATTTATATAGGTAATATTAATAAAAAAAATTGAGCCCACCCTAGTCCTCACTTGGATCCACCTTTGTACACACTTAATCATGTCTCTTGACTAATGATAGGATATTATCCACTCCGCGACCAAACTTTTTTAGATACGGTAGATAACAAGCACGAGAGAGAGAGAGAGAGAGATTCTTACCAATTCCGACTATAACTGGGAGACCCTTGTTCTCCAACAAAGCCTGAAACCAGAAACAAAGTGCTGCATCAAGTTCAGAACTTGTTAAATATACTCATAGACTCTTTCAGATTCAAAGGTCCACTAGTTGTAATATTGAAAACATTTCGTGCCAACTTATGGCCTGATATCTACCTGTATTGCTTGAACAGAGAGAAGCAAGCCCCTATCTAAGTCATATGAATCAGGCATTGGAGCAAGCTGCAGGGTATCCCTGAAAGAAGGAGGATCTGTGGTTGTTTGATGAGAGGAAACTTGGCATATGAAGCATTGATTACCCATCCAATGTACAAGTTACAAGTTACTTCAAAATGATACGAACAGAGATATAATTATACTGGTTGAAAAGGCATACCAATGACAGAGCCATCAGCATGTGGAGGATCTGACGAGATGAAATGCCATGTCGCTAATACAGGTTCCATTTTCAGCTTGGTTGGGGATCGAGTCCATGGTTGAGATAAATCATCAAGCCGGTTAACAAGGTTTGGAGTGACACGGACTGGCTTTGGTGCAGCAATCAACCGTTCCTGATTGCCAATCGAAGATTTATCAGACAAAGGTGGAGGTGTGTTAAGGCGTGGTACACCTGTAAGTGAGACCCATCAGTTAGAATAAGAAAAAGCTGATAGCTGAAATACAAATATCAAATAGATGTACGGACTATCAACAGAGCAAGGTTTTAAATACCAAACCCAACAGGTCGGCTAAACCGTTGGGACCGTTACTTCCCGGAGGGTGCCATGTCCGTTTCCGTATGGTCTGTATCCGTGTCCCCGTCCTAGAAGTGTCCTAAATAGCGAACTCAGTCAAGCACGGCAAAGATAAGGTCAGGACATGACTAGGATAAGCCACGACACGACCAGGATTTTTTTTAAAAATAAAAACTATTGTTAACTTTAAGAGGGGTGTGATTTAATTATTTTTTTTCTGTGCTTTTTTGTTATGTAATTTATACACTATGAATGCTAATAAATGTAATGATGTTTGATAAAAATTGTGGATGTTTATTTTGCTTTGTTTCAATTTTAATCAAAAAAATTAATATTTGCTAAGTCTTATTATTAATATTGTTATAAAATATGTTTTGTTTTTAATATATTATAATTTTATTATCATCTAAAAAATATATAATATTATTTTAATTAGTTGTATTTTTACCATAACCGTGTCCTATATTTTCGAACTTTGCCGCATTCTCGTGTCCATAACCGTCCTTCTTAGGTTGGGACCATTAACAGTTTGCCTTTCGGATCCGAGATGAACTTCAGATCATTCCCTTTCAAAAGTGTCATTATTTACAAAATTAATGAAAACCAAGAAGCCATCAGTAGGGTCTCTGGTTTGTAGAACTGTCCTAATATAAGTCGAACAAAAGGAAGCCTCTTAAGGCGCTCCATATCATTCTCTTGGTAAACTCATTGATTAATTAAAGATTACAAACTTTTCAGTACTGATCTGCAGATCTTCCTTGTAGGCTTTTAGTTTGTACTAATCTCTCTGTCCCACTATCTTTCCTTTCTCATTAGTGCACAAACATTAATTTAGATCAGATTCGGTACTCCCAAAATGTTTCTTCCATTATTTGAAAAAACAAATAGATTCTGTTATTTTTAGAATCAGTAAGCAGATCATAGCGCTTCTAACATTGAAAATAACAATATCCCTTGTAAATATAGGATTTATACTTAAGGCCTCAAGCTGATCTCAAGGTTTGGTGTGCAGTGACTCAGGGCAAAACGCTGCTAGGTGCTCCAGCCCTTTTAATTGATTGGTCAATGGTAGGGTTTTAGAATCTTAGGAGAAAGTGAAAAGTGTACAACGTCCAAATTCTAACCTTTGCTCTCCAGAATCAATTCGAGATATGATTTAGTGATCCATGGTCCATTGATACCCATCCTCGATGCTTCTGCTCCAACAGTCTACATACAAAGAAATGCAATGAAGACAGCATTTAAAGGAGAAGAAAAACATACTTTCAGGCATAATTTTTTCCTAGTTTAGGAACACCAAATTGACAAAAAAAACCAGCATAAAAGCAAACATATTCAATTAAAACCGAAAAAGTCACAGCAGAATGACAGGGGCCAAGGTGCTACAAAATTGCAAAAAGAACAAAGTAAGCCGAGATATGAGGAAGATATACTCAGTGTGTCGTTTAATTCAAGGGTCTGACCATTGGTATGGTAGAATGACAAAACAGTTTCATATAGCTGACTGAATAAGCCTTTGCTTAGTTAGAAAATGCTATAAAAAGCTTGGTGACACTCACATCCTCGTCACATTAGTTGTCCTTGTTTTTTACATAACTCTTTATAGGGAGAAATGAGAGAAAAAAAGCTTCTGTCACACATCAGTAAGAAAGATGAGATGACACCAAAACTTGATGCACACTCATGCTAATGATCATGATTTGAACCATTTCTCAATTTTTATCTTCTGCGGTGACTAGGGCACAGACACTTAGTTAACCCTAGCCCCAGAATACTTATTGTACCTTCACTACCTTCTGAAGGTACACAAGAGAAAAATAAAAGTGAGACAAAAGGCAGAATTGACATCCACCAAACAATACTCATGGAATAAATTGACCCTCAACAATCCATCAGCAAAGATCATGTATAAGAATACTCCAAAACTTTGAAGCAATACAAATGAATTCATACTTTCCTATTTGTGCCCCTTAAAACCATGTATGTCTCGCCAAGAGTATCAATTGTTTCCAGAGACATTGAAAGATTGCCATCGCTTACTGACGTAGATGCCCGTTTATAACTGACTACAACACTATATCCCAAAGCCAACAATCCACCCAGAGTCATCCGTCCGACCTGTTACAGTTGAAATGAGGAGAGATGGAGTGAGAAAACCATCCAATCTCAATACAAACAAGGAATATTATAAAATTCAATTATCTCAATTTTGGGTCTGGGTTGTGCATCTATTTCAGAGGCAACAAAGCATCAAAATACTGAGAGATTTTACACTGAAAGCGAAAGTATAGGCACAACACCTAATTCAATTGTGTCCGTCCAACTCTATTGAGGATTAGAAAAACCTGGACCATCGAGGACATAAAAGATGAACAAATAAAATAGTCCTTCACTCCTATATTTCACAGGCATAATCAACTAAAGATGGGCTACTTTACAAAGGCAAAATCAAGAACATAAAATCATCTAAAGTAATGGTCCAACAATTGGAGATAAAACTAAGGTACCAAACTGACAAAAATGGTAGCTCATTGCTAGACTATGAAACCCTTATTCTTATGCAACTTGCAAGTGGTTGCACCAAGTTGATCCCAAGTCACCCCACAAGTTCCCTTAAATTTGTCAAAACTGTACTTCTTTAAATGACGTCGGCATGAGATCACTTATACAAGGACAAACAACTTCAACAATCCCAGTTTGTAATATAAGGTTTCCCAACCACTTATTGGAACTACTAAATCCAATAGAAATTGGGTGATCTATTGGTTTCGACTAGGAATTAAATATAAATGGACCATTTTTATAAATAAATAAAAGAAACAAAGACTCGGGGTCATTACTAGGACCTACGATAAAGACCCCACTACACAATAAATTCTATATCATTTTCATAGTTGTGGAAGAAATTTCTAGGCATATTGGGATCATATCCCATTCTGATATTGCTTGAAAGCAAAATCGTTTTAACAGACAAAACAAGATTAGAGGTAAGTAGCAAAATTCCGAGATTCTCTAAAATCCAAAGATTTTAAGCAAAGTATTAGAGGATGAAGAGTGAAGATTCAGAAAATATGAGATCACAACTGAGTGAAAAACAAAAACAGAAGATCAGAAATGAGTAATAAACAAGAACTCAGGGTAAAAGGGATGCAAGTGGCCACTTTTGCTCTCCTGCATCAATTGTTATATGGGAAGAGATAATGTGGGTAAGCCCCTGCAGTGATGAGTTATCATGGATATTAGCTGACTTGAATGGACAGTTCGATAGGAAGGCGATAGGGTCACCTGCCGTTTCTGGTGCAAATTGTTGGCCAATTAGAGATGTGTCAGAAAAACAAAAGGAATATGCTATGACAGATGAACAGCAATATAACAGTGGATAGTATTTCAGTGTGCAAATAAGCACATGATTACTATTTCAGTGTGCAAATAAGCACATGATTACTATTTCAGTGTGCAAATAAACCCATGATTACTATTGAGTGCAACCTTTAAAATAGGGTAAAACAATTAGAATAAATATCTCACCTCAAATTCAGCTTTTGGCCGAATAATATAATGCTTGTCAACAATCCTTTGGTCACCGAGCGAGAGATAGTATCTGATACCAGATTGTCGCACCTTAATCCAGTCATTTATTCGTGCTTCTTCACTTGCAGATGGAGGCCTTAGGTACATCTCAATGAAACTGAAAGCAAAGCCTCCACAAGCTTAGTCATACCCAACACTTTTTTGTATTTACAAAAACAAAAGAAGCCATTGATTATCGCTATAGAGATATCATGGTAAGGGAAGAACCATTCGTAAACAACTTACTTATCCAACTGTGCCTTCTTCCCATGAAAAGTATAGGCTGAATGTTCACCTTGTGACTGCTACAATAGCCAAACATATTAGTTATCAGAGAATGTAGATGACAAAGTCAACAATAATGAGCAAATTTTGCACACAGACAAACTAGGGGAGGATGGGGGAGAAGAGACCATGATAATCTATATGGGGAGATGGTAACAACGTGCACAGCTGTGAATCAAGTAAATCTTGAAAACAACCCTAAAGCCAGTTAAGCTTGTTCAAATATGCATTCCTAACATGTAATTATATTTGGGTTCACGAATGCCATAACCGTCGAACCAGGTTAAGTCTCATGCTGAGTGAAGCTCAGTGCAAGCTAAAATAGCCCTTTCTTGGTTCGCTAAATTTCTTTTCTTTACACGGCAGGTTGGTTGGCGGGTAGGGATGGAAGGAGGGAGGAACATGCCAAAGCTAAATAAATGGTTGAAATTCAACACATATGGAAAAGCAAGAATCTTCACTCATATTTATAATTTGAACATACTTACGGACCTCACTTTTGCATTTGAGCTTGTAGATTGGCTCTCTAAATGATGAAACAAAACTGTTGTTAATTCGGATCTGGAGAAAAAATGCACAAAATCAAGAGCCACAAATAAAATCACGAGGGCAGGATGTTAAAAACTTACCTGCGCATGATGAAGATCTGGCTCAATGTGCTTTCTGAACAATGGAAAAATGCTGTCAATGAGGTAGTCCAACGAACAAGATTCTCCAATATCATATTGAACTTTGGAAAGAAGACTAAAATGAACACCACCAACCTGTAAACATATAGTATACAAATATTTATCAACCATGTAGTAATATTTTTTACAGGGGATGAGAAAAGCACAATACAAACCAACATACAACTCTAAACAGAAAAAAATATGGATCATTTTCCCAGTTTGGTCCCCTGCTAATCAAGGGCGCTAGGAGGGTTACACTGGGTACAGTCAACCTTTGGCGTTATTTACACAACCCGACTGCCCTCATGTTTGAACCCAAAACCTCAAGTTGTTAGCCCAACACTTTTACCATTGCAACTGGGAATGATCCTTGTTGAAATGAAAAAATTATCAAATATATATCAGTTCACATTACCACTGCAACTCGAATATCTAGCAAAGAGCGCAATCTTGCATGCAACGCATAGGTACCATCAACTATCACCTACAAACAAATTTGTATGTAAGAAACCCATTATATTTATGCCACATCACAGAAAACAGTGATCATTTGCATACTTACCACCCCAGATGAAGTACTCTTTATCTCTTTAGAGCCAATGCGTCTTTTTAGTTGGAAATCGAACACTGGGGTCGATGTATCTTGACCATTTATCAAATCCTATGTCAACACAACAACAAACAAAACAACCCACACATTTAAATCGAGAAATTAGTGTTATGAGTCATGCTTATTCATATGATATGAAGCCTCCAGAAGAACAAAATTAAATCAGCTTATATATCGCATCCAAAACTTGATAAGATGCTTGTCAATGATACTGAATACCTCTCAGTGAGAGAGTTTCCTCCATTAAATAGAAACTCCCGAGCATAATACAGGCCAAAAAATCTGCTATTTACAGCTCATAATCTAACTAAATATAGAATGCAATATTCCCTACTAATTACAAATATTGACACTTAATATACAATAAACATATATAGTAAATATGGATAGATATGTGCTGGCAATGCCAACATACATATCCCAGTGACATCCCCCCTCAAATTGATGTTGGTTGATCAAGAAGCATCAATTTGCTTAAAAGAAAATAATGGCGTTACCGAGTCATGGCCTTGGTAAACACATCAGCTATCTGAAGATCGGTGGAAACATGCGGAGGGGAGATGACACGAGTATCCATGGCTTTCCAAATAGAGTGACAATCCACTTCAATATGCTTCATACGCTCATGATAAACAAGGTTAGAAGCAATCTGAATTGCACTCGTGCTGTCAGCGTGTAGAGGAGTGGGATTAGATTGAGAGAAGCCGAGCTTAGCCATGAGCCCACGAAGCCAAGCAATCAGCAGACGTCGCATGATATTCGGATTCAATCGAGGATTTAGAAACATGAGCTTGCTTTTTCCTCTTCTAGGATATCTAGGACTTGCTAAGAAACATACGCCAACCAGTAACAAAACGACGAGTATCTGGACACTCAGCCAAATCAGCATCACTAAAACCAATAAGGTGAAGGGGAGAACCAGCAGAAAACAACAATCCACGACTCAAAGATCCTCAGAGATACCAAATGATACGACGAACAGCAGCTAAATGAAGATGACATGGAGTTTGCATAAACTGACTAACCTGTTGGACTGCAAAAGAGATATCGGGTTGTGTAATAGTCAAGTAGTTCAAGCTGCCAACCAACAATCAAAACATGGTAGGATCTGGAAGGAGATCACCCTCATCACGACGGTACTTCACGTTTACTTCTAGAGGAGTATCTACCGAAGTAGAATCCTGAAGTCCAGCCAAAGCAATTAAATCTTTTACATATTTGTGTTGATTCACAAATATACCCAAAGAATCAGTATGAACTTCCAACCATAAAAAATATGTAAGAGGACCAAGATCCTTTATATGAAAGGAATCCTGAAGATGTTGCTGGAGTTGGATAATCAATAAGGACTCTGTTCCGATAATGACAATATCATCCACGTAAACAAGTAGGAGGACAATACCAGTAGAGGTCTTACAAAGAAATTGAGAAGAGTCATATTGGCTCTACACAAATGAGAAGCAAATCAAGGTAGACCGAAACTTTTCAAACCTGTTTCAAGCCATAGAGAGACCGCTTCAACTTGCACACGTCTAAAGAAGGAGAGGAGAACAAACTCGGTGGAGGTGCCACATAAATATCCTCCTTGAGATCACCATGAAGAAAAGCATTTTTTACGTCCATCTGGAGAAGTGGCCAGTCCTGGGAAGCTATAATGGAAAGAACAGTACGCACCATAGTCATTTTTGCCACCGAAGCAAAATGTATCCTCATAGTCCACTCCATTCTCTTGCGTGTTACCAAGTGCAACCAACTGTGCCTTATAGCGATCCAGAGTCCCATCAGATCAAAGATTAATTGAATAAACTCATTTGCAACCAATGGCTTCAACAGTAGAAAGGCAAGGAACAATGTCCCAAGTATGATTCTCTTGAAGAGCCCGAAGTTCCTCATCCATTGTCTTCTGCCAACTTTCATGTTTGATAGCCTTGGAGTAACATGTAGGAATAGGAGTAGAAGATAAAGTAGCATTAAGAGAAGTATAAAAACCATACCAATCAGGAGGACTAGAAACTCTAGTCAAGTGTCTAGGACCAGGCTTAGGAGGCGCACCAGGCTTGGAAGAAGCAATCAGATCAGTCTCAAATGGCAAGTCAGACTCGGGAAGAGCCGGCTGAACAGTCTAAGATGATAGGTTAGTCTCAAGAAGGGGCGAATTCAGTCGAAGTCGTTCATACACAAATCCAGGTTTGAGCCGCTTAGGAAAAGAAGGTAAGTCATCAAAATAAGGCAGAACACTAATTTCAAGCAATGACTCAACATGTGTAGAAAAAAAAGATTGATTCTCAAAGAAGACAACATGACGAGAAATACGAAATTTGTTAGAGCATGGATCATAGCAAACATAGCCTTTGTGTGAAATACTATAACCCATAAAGTAGCATTTAAGGGACTAAGCAAAAAGTCTGTGACGTTTATGAGAAGGTAAATGAACAAAACAAACAACTAAAAGTATGCATATAAAGGTAGCATATCAAGGTAGCTAGGATGCTGATGATAAAGACAATAATATGAGAAAGGCACTGACAAAGCCTCAACCCAGAATTTAGAAGAAACAGTAGACTCAAGCAATAAGGTACGAACAACATTCAAAAGATGGCGATTCTTGCGTTTCGCCACTCCGTTTTGTTGTGGTGTAGAAGGGCAGGAGTGTTGGGAGACAATTCCTTTCAAGTGTAGGAAATCATGAAACTCATAAGACATATATTCCCCACCAGAATCAAACCTCAAAACTTTAATACCTGTAGAAAATTGAGTCTCAACATACGCCACAAAGGTCGTGAAAACCGAAAAGACCTCAGATTTGGACCGAAGAAAATAGACCCAAGTATACCGACTGTAATCATCAATGAACATCACAAAATACTTATACTGAGCATAAGAAATTACAAGTGTCAGTCACTATGCATAATATCAAAGCACTTTTATGCACGACTATCATGAGAAGGAAAATGAAGAGTTTTACTCTTTCCTAATTTACATGTAAAGCAATCAAAAGATAAATTATGTGAAAATTGATCTTTATTACCCAACAAACCATAGTTCAACAAATGAGACAAAACAACAGAATTCGAATGACCCAAACGTTTGTGTCATACTTCACTCTTATTGTTAATAGTCGTACAACTCAAAGATAAACAACTAGGAATGGAAAACTGCAGTGGAAACAATCTGCCAACTTTAGGCCCCTTCGCGAGTATCTTCTTCGACACCTAATCCTACACAAGACAACCATCACGAGAGAAATGGACATCACAGTGGTTATCAACTAACTGACCAATCAAAATAAGACTAATAGAACGTCCAGGGGCTACCAAAACATCTTTGAAAGATGGACTAATATCTCCAATAGCATTAATATTTAAATGACTCCCATTAGCAATTTGAATATGTGATGAGCCATGATATTTACGAACATTTCGAAGAGTCTCAAATGAACTGATAAAATGATTAGACGCACCAGAATCTACAAGCCAAGATTAAGATGAAGTATTACCATTACCTTGAAGTCCTAATGCCGAAAAGGCTTAAACAATTATTTGTTGTACCATTTCAGAAGTAAGAATAGATTGTCATGCAACACGAGAATTGTTTGAGGACACTGCTGAAGCAAAAGAAGAAGCGTTGACTGCGGCCCGATAAGCATTACCTTGACGATTTTGAGGTCGAGTAGGACAGTCCTTGATAATATGACCTTGTTTCTTACAATAGTTGCAAGTTTTCTTTGTACAGTTGGCAACAATATGCCCATACTCCTTGCAGCTAAATCATTGGACTTTGCGCATATCCTTACCCTTCCCTTTTCCTTAAGCTGCATATGCAACATGATCATTATTGGATATCATTCGGTCCTGTTGGAAAGTAGCCTGTGTGAGAAGGCGTTGTTCTTTATGAAGTAATTCTCCAAAACAAACATCCAAGGATGGAGAAGAATCCCGATTCATCAAATTCGAGCGAGTAACCTCAAATTCAAATCGCAATTTCATCAAAAACTGATCTCTCTTACTTTGCTCATGAGCTTCCTGAACAGCCAGGAGAGATTCAGCTGGCACCTTCGCGTAAACTATGTTAGAAAATTCTACCCATAAATTCTGAAAACCAAAAAATAATCCTGAATTGAGAAATTGACTCGAGTGTAACTAGCAATCTCATACTCCAATTGAAAACATCTTGATGTGTTGTCGTGATTTTAAACCTTTTTCAAATACTCCCACATAGTTTTAGCAGTCTTATATGGCCTCAGATTAAGAACAATAAGTGGATCAATAGACCGTAAAATCCATGTCATCACATGAGCGTCTTTAACCTTCCATTGAGCTAACTTTGTAGGATCCGTAGGAGCTGGATCACTTCCATCGATATGGCCTCACAAATCCTTTCCAGTAACAAATAATTGAAACTGAAATTCTCAAGCAGAATAGTTTTTACCAGTGAAACGCACACCAAAAGATTCAAAGTTGCTAGTTAACATGATGCTCGAATGATTCAAATCCACAACACCAGGAGTGTACCAAGGAAAACAGTAAACCCAAAACACCAAAAACAATACACCATAAAACTGAGAAGTTATCAGCAATCCACAACGCAGTAACCCCCAAAACAACACAGCAATGACACAGAGAATTTTGACAGCCAAGAAGGCTAACAGAATTCACCCAAATAAAAGAAAACTAACACCAAAAAGAAACCCAATTAATCCCACAATCAAAACCACCCGAGAGAAAATCAGAAAAACTCTAATTTAAATTTTCTGGCTCTGATACCATGTCAATGATACTGAATACCTCTCAATGAGAGAGTTTCCTCCATTAAATAGAAACTCCAGAGCATAATACTAGCCAAAAAATCTGCTATTTACAACTCCTAATCTAACTAAATATGGAATGCAATATTCCCTACTAATTACAAATATTGACACTTACTATACAATAAACATATATAGTAAATATGGATAGATATGTGCTGACAATGCCAGCATACATATCCCAGTGACAATGCTATCATACCAATTCAAGTAAAAAGGAACAAAACGATATCCGTCAGGTTACAAAATGAAAATTCCATAGTAAAATAGCTGCCTTGAGACATTCCCATCAGTTATAGGGATTGGACTGAATCTCATGACATGATTCAATTTAAACAAGCAATGATTCGATTTAAACAAGCAAACATCATTCAGCTCCAAGATAAATACATGAGAAAGAGATGCATACCTCAAGGTTTTGAACTAGGAGATCAAAATCAATTGAATCCAAAACGTTCCCATCATCAACACCAGTGCGATAGTTCTCCATTGATACAACGGCACAACCAAGCACAGACATTACCTTCTCTGCTAAACTTCAGCAACCATTAAATTCACAGGATTAAGCAGTAAGCATGCAAATCGCAGAAATGGCAAGTGCCAAAAATACTGGCCCCAGCTTGAACCAAGTCCAACTCACATTTCTCTATCTAGAATTTGTAGAATCCAATTATAACATATAACTACGTATAGGGCATATACCTTGTTTTACCGGACCCACTCGGACCACCAATGGCAACTGTTACAATACCCTCTTTCTTCGATCTGAGTTCTTGAATAGATTTTACCAACAAGTAGTAACCATGATCAAAAGACTGCGGAATTACAAAAACACCATGTTTAGAGATACAGTTACAAACCCAATTCCCTATAAACAAATAAACCACAAATACAATGGAATGACATATAGCTATAACGTATTACTCCACTAGCTACATCCCAATTGAAGGTATCATAAAATTACGACAAACACAACAATTAGACAAATCGGCTTTCCATCACCCTACAGCTCAAATGCACACAACCCACTATGGGTATAGCCCAAAAGCAACCCATCCTCAAGAAAACAATCACCCACTGAAACATAAGTTCAATGATTTTTTATCTGAAACACAATAAAAATTCAACAAACCCATAAAAGCAAACATCTAAAAAATAATATACATACTTCACTTAACATTGAATATCATATCAAACATTTGACAAATTCGAGAAAACCATAGGCTACAAAAACAGAGGGTGTATGAGAGAGAGAGAGAGAGAGAGAGAGAGAAAGAGAGGTGTTTTGCATACCACGTGAAGAGGTAGAGACTGGAGGATGGAGGAAGAAGAGGAAGAGGTGGAGGGTTGTTGTTGATAGTAATCACGACCACCTTCTTCGAAAACACGCTGCACCACATCATCATCCATGGCCACTGAGGCTTTGCGCTTCTATTTCTTGTTTCTTCCAACCAAACCTCAATGAAAGAAAGAGAGAGAGAGAGAGAGAATCTCGATTGTTTCAATCAAAGAAGAAAGAGAACGTCAATTGCTTGTCTGGGTTCTTTTAATGTGTAAACATATGTTCAATTGTGTAAAAAAATATATCTTCCTCTCCGTCAAAGTCTTCTGCCATTGTTGCTTCGGTGAGTTACTTCATTGAGCTTTTTAAGAAAATGGGGTTTGTGTGGGGAATAAGCAAAACACCGTTTTTTGTAACCCCGTTTAAATGTAACTTAACCACTAACCATCTAAAGTAACCCCGTTTTTGTTTCCCTTCTTTTTCATTTGCTTACGTGACAATTAAGGATATAAAAATATGATATAATCCGTTAATACAATATAAAAATAATATATTATTAGAGAATTTGAGTTACTCTCGAGTCACTTATCTAATAAACAAATGGATCCGATATAACACAATTAATATACGAATTAGATATAAATAAAATCAATTAAAAAAAATATATGACACAACTTGTTTATATATTGATTATACACGATTTATATACAAAATGAATTCGATATAACACAATTTGTTCGACACAAATTAATAAACTAATCAATTATGACTTGAATATTTTTTGATATAAAACTACCACGACCCAACACTAACTCATATTTTTTAATGTAAAAAATTTAATTTTTGAATGTACATAATAAAAAACTTAAAACCTTTTCGGTGCAAAGTGTAAAAAGCCCAAAATTTAAATAAATGTTCATATATACAACGCAATCTTTGTAGTTAAATCTATGTTTTTTATGGGCTAATTTAAATTATAGAGTTTGTCTCATTTTAGTCTTTGATATATCAATTGTAACATTTTGGTCCCTAAAAACTTTGAATATGTCTCTATGTAGTCCCTTAAGCAGACAATATTCAAATTATTAATAAATTTTAATTATGAACTTGACATGTGATACTCAAATATAAGTAAAAAAATAATTTAGATAGCTATTTACAAAAAATGTGTAATATGGGTAGCTCTTGACTAAAATTTAGTTGACTTATAATCAAAACTGTGTAATTTGGGTAGATATTTGATCAAAATTTAGATAAAAATTTAGTCAAAAGTTATTTAAATTATTTTTTTGTCTATATTTAAGTATTACGTCACAAATTTATAATAACAAATTATTAGCAATTTGTCTGTTTAAAGAATTATATTAAAATATATTCAATATTTTAGAGATTAAAATAATATAATTAAAATATAAAAGACTAAAATGAGATAAACTACATACTTTAAGAGTATCCGGTGTAATTAACCTTTTTTATTTATAAAGATATATTTTTATGTATAAAGGAAAAGTGAAAGAAACAAGAACAATAAAATATTCTATTTCATCCTCTTTTAACTTTTTGTTTTTTAAATATTCTATTTGACAAGCACAAGTTAAGGGACTTAAGATGGGTATAAGGATGTGAGTATGCCTTTCAACGGATCAAATTCAGATCGGATATGGATTCATCTGAATTCGATTTCGATTAAAATATTAATATTTAATTTGATCCGTTTATTTGATGGGTAAAAAAATATTAGTATTATCTGATTCAATTCATAATGATATTTTATCAAAATTTCAACAAATAATCTTTTTAAAAAAAATCAAATATAGATAATTGATATACATATATGTGTATATTATATATTAATATATCTTATTTTTTATATTAACCAAATTGACTTTTTATCAGATCAGATTGTATATATCCATATCTATTTCTGATTTAATATATCTAAACCGATTCGAATAAACTAATAAAAAAAATGATCTACATCTAGTTACATAGATTTGAATTTAAGTCAGACTGAAATTTAATCCGTTAATAGGCCTAGATGTGAGAGACAAGGTTAAAAATGCTAAAAAAAATAAAAATAAATAGCTTGGTGAAAACCTAAATGATAAAAGGGAAAATAAAAAAACCTCAAGAGGAGAAATTATATTTTACAACAAGGAGCATACAAGTCGTTGATGTATTTGTTAATTAATGAAAAATGTAACATAATTTAAATAAAATTCAAATTCAAATGCATATATCATTTGGCCGAGTGTTGAATAAGTGAGTCTCATTGAAAAAATTGATAAAATTCATTTATTTAGAGAATAATATGTATTTGGGTTGTAATATTTTAAATTTTATTTCAATTTTGTTACATTAATCTTAATTAATTATTGTGAACCTTTTGAAGAATTCCACAACGGAAATGTATTTTACTATTAAAAAAAAAAAATTAGCTTCATTGTCATGATCGCCATTGACCATAAAATTATCGTGGGTGGGTGGGGGTTTAAAGCAATGATAAGTTCGTTTATTATGATTTAATGTCACAAACCCGAGTCAAGAGAACAATATATTTACCCGTAAAGTTAACTATATAAAATTTATCATTTCCAGATCGAAGCAGCGAACATCATATACTAGGATATCGTTTTATAACTTACAACCATGGGTAGTTCCCAATTGTCATCAATAGATTTATCAAATTTGATGGGACTCAAATCATGTTATAAGTCCAGTCTGAATAAAGAGTCTAACTTGAAGAGATCTAATAGGTCTAGCCCAAGGGAGGTCCACACCGAGTAAAGTTCATTAGCTTTCAAAAAGCTACATCGCAAAGGGAGAAAGAAGGGTCATTCACGTCGCCTTGGAAGAAGTTAACCACCACATCATCCTTTGACCTGATCTTAAGGGAAGTTTTGCAACTATCGTATATGCTAAGAAGATAGCGTCAATTCCACCAGATTCACTATTTAGTTACTGAAAAATCGCCTCAGTCTGTTGAGAGTCACTATAAATTGTAAGTCTTGCCAATATTTGGGGGGCATTGAGCACATTTGCTATCACTTTCATTGCTTGTATCTCCCTGCTCTCCTTACACTCCTCGAAATAATAAAATACACATGTCACCATAACTCTTCATAGAGGACGTAGTAGCTCACGTTAACCGAATCATTCTACATAATTAATGAGAATACAAAAAATGGACAGTAGCATAAAATAATGTCATTGACATAAGATTGGGACATAGAACAAAGTCATCAAAATTTCACGATTCAATTTTAAATTAAAGATATAAAAATGGACAGTAATATTGTACAATTACATCAAACAGTATCATAACAGATTTGTGGTCTGCGAATAATAGATTTGTTAACCTTTTTATATAGGGAATAATAGATGAAGAATGTGACAAACTCGTGGAATAGTGAGGAATCACCATAGTCTTCAAATACACTATGAAGATAAAGCTTCATAAAACTCAGTCACTGTGGTGTATGCGGAATTATTGAACAAAGGTGAATGCCAATAAACTCTCTGTGGCGGCTATAATCTATTTACTATTATAGATAGAAAGTTGAATTATCAAATTATAAAAATACAATAATGGTTAAAATTTATTTAATAATATAAAATTAATTCTGGAGGGGCACTACATTTGTGACACATGTAGTGGCTTTGTGACACATGTAGTGACATTTAATACTCTCACGTGGGAATGATAAGAGTAGTAAAACAATAAAATCACAGTCTGACCAAATTCTCAGATCGAAGAAAAGTGTATTACTTTGTATCATTAATCAAGGGAACCCTAACGGAAGGAGACTGTATAAAAGAAGCATAGACTCAAGGAGAAAGGTACATACAATTTTTCTTGCATAGGAATTCATTTCATTCAAGTATCGACTTAAGCATTGGAGTGCTTTTTACAAATTAGCACATTCTTTGAAGGAGGTAAATTCATTTCTTGCCTCTTACAAATTCCAAAAAAAACTTTTCCCGCTCAAAAAATCAACTAAATCAACACATTCCTCAATTTCGGACAATTCCATTAATTCACACTTATCTTTATTTTCTCTCTCTCGTACATCTCTCTTATTTATTTTTGTTCACTTTTTAATTTTAAATTACAATCGATGCTTTGTGTTCATTTACGAAGTTATTGCTTGTTCTCTAATATAGAAGACTACATTCAATGTTCATATCGACACCATTTGCGGTTGGTACTACTAGAGGCATGGCGATAAAGGGTATAATTGTCATGTAGAAGGTTTGTTTCCAGGGGTGTGCTGACTCTCTACGTCTCTCACAGTGTGTGGTGGTGTGCGATTATGATCTTAGTATATCACCATAGCCTCTCAAACCTTAACTTTTTTATTTATTTTTTGAAAACGATGAAGACAAAAGAGGATTTAAAGACTAAAAGCAAGAGTAAAAATCATAAATAAAAAAGAATTTTAATTTTAGTTTTCTTGAAATTAGATTAGAGATTATTTACAGGTTTTGTAGGTAGATGAGACTAATTCTAAAAAATTACAATTTCACTATAAAAAATTTTAGTCACATCCCTTCTAATTTATCATATCTTAAAGAATATCCTCTCTAGTTTTTAAATCTACACTGATAAGCTCCTATTAAATTAAAGATCTTAACTAGAATATAATTTTACTAAATTGCTCATAATATATTTTAAGAAAAACTTCATCCACATTCCTTCTGGATAGACATATCTTGAATGAAACTCCCTCTATTTTAATCAGCTCAAATTAAATTTTAATCAGCTCTCATTGAAATTTAATCTACCCAAATTTGATACGTAAAAAAATATAAATTTTAATCGACTCTAATTTTAATTAACTTGAGTCAAATTTTAATTGACATGGATTATAATAAGTAAAAAAATATAAATTTTAATTAACTTGAATTGATTTTTAATCAACGCTACACAACTCAGGTTGAGCTCAAATTCACTTGAATTTTAATAAGTAAAAAAGAAAAAATTTACTTAATAGGCTCAAATTTTACTTAATATGCTCAAATTTTAATACATAAAAAAATAAAATTTAATCAGTTCGGATCAAATTTTAATATGTAAAAAAATTAATTAATTTTAATATGTAAAAAAATTAATTAACTCAAATTTTAATATATAAAAAAATAAATTTTAATCTACTCTAATTTTAATTGAATTTTACGTAAAAAGATTGTTTGGAGTTTATGTAGGGATAATTTTGATATTTTAGATAATTTTTTGCATTAAAAATGATAATTTAATGGTAAGTAGTGTTAGTGATGTTTAAACATAAACTAGAAAGAGTGTCAATGATATTTTAAATAATAGAAATGATATCTTTGAAAATATGATAAATTAGAATAGGTGTAACTAAAATTTTTCCAAAAAATTTATTATAAAAGAATTTCAAAATCTTATTCTTGGACCCACAAAGATTATAAAACTTAATCATAATGATATCAATTTTTTGTTTTAGGTACGTAGTAGTTCAGAAGTCAACGCCTTCCTGCCCCACCACTTTCTATTCTTTTTGTCCTATCTCTACTGTTTGCTATCTTGCGCCGTCCTTCCGTTTCGTGAAGATAGTAAACGGGTGACTAATGATCTGAAAATATTAAATAATTTGACTTTTTTCTAGTAAAATAATTTGACTTAATGGCGTAAAAAGCTAATACGATCCTGCTAAAAAATTATAAAAATTGCAATTATCATACTTTTTTTTTTTGGATATTTCCCCTACATTATATGTTTCATTTTGCTAAATTTTTTCAAATATTTTAATATATTATTCTTTTATTATTTTTATTGGCTACTTGTCCTAAATTTAATTAAAATTGATTATATATAATGAGTTTTTTATTAATAGGTAATGAGAGATATTCAAAGTTGTAATGACAACAATGAATAATGTCATGGTAGGTAATATACGTGTCATGTTAGGTCGGATTCACGTCGAATATACTTAACTCATTTAACTATTCATATTACACTAATTCGACTTATTTATTTTATTATTGCATTGGTATTTACTCATATAACCCGTGAATAAATAAATTAATGCTAAAATTTAAATTTAAGATTTCATTTTTCTGATCGAAGATCTTATTTTTCATAAATTAAAAATCAACTTAATGCATATAGTCATTAAAATAAGTAAAAAAAAAATCATCTTATTGGATAACGATTACGTGAATACATAATTAAAAAATAAAAAATAAATATTTTATTCATATAATATTAATTAAACATGGTAAATGTGTCAATTTTATAGTATTTGTGTTCGACACTGTCATCTGTGATAGTAAATTGTGCCATTATTTAGTTCATTTTTAAAAAATAATTAACTCTAACCCATTATGTCAAAATTTATCATCTTTACTATCAAAAAATAAAAAATAAATAGTGTTGGGAATTTTTTTTTAATTCCACTATAAAACTTGTATTGGGTGCACAGGATAAGCAACGTAAAGCAACTAGCCTGAGTTCGTCCTTTTCTATCACTTCCTCATCATGACACCATTCCTATTTAGAAAATTGACTTTTGAACTGTCATCGCATCCAGATTGTCTTTCCTTCACACTCGTTCCCTTCTGACTTTTCTCTGAGCTCGGAGACCCAAAAGGCGGTGGCGATAGCGATGGAGGGTCTTCCCTCTGGTTATCGTCCCAACGTTGGAATCTGTCTCATCAACGATGATAATCAGGTACTCAGTTATTTTGCTGCTAAATCCACGAGGCTTCTCTTCCTTCCGTGTTGAATTTGGGAGTACATGTTCTTATTATTTCACTTTTAAATCTCAATAAATTTGGTGGGTAAATGTTCACTAACGCAGTTCTATCTTGTTTAGAGTGAAAAATAGTATGTGGTTTGTATACACAAGACTAGTGTAGAATTTACATGTTATAAAAATCAAAAATGAGTGCTGAATTGTCCACTAGTATGTTCAATTTATGTTTAAGGGTAAGAGTACGCTACTGAAAAATAATTTTTTGGTACCCAAAGTCTTAACCCATGTTTATTTATAATTGAATCCATGTTTAATTATAATTGTGATAACTGCTGTCTTGTTTAGAGGTAAACGGAGAGTTATTAAGGTGGGAACGTCAGGTTCGAATCATATTACGGCGTGAGGTGAGGGATGAGTTCAATTCATATTGCTAACAATTAAAAATAGATAGGTGATTGTGCTATTCTGCATATACTTTTGAGAATTTTTTGGATAAATTGTAGCTAGTTCGGACATAATTTACAGAGCTATGGCCTCATTACTATTTGCTATAGTTTGCTTGACAATCTTGAACCTCGGTTTGATGTGTGTGGAGTTTGGGGTAGAGTGTAGCTTGTGATTTGTAAACACTGATCATAGCAAGTATCAGGTTCTTTTGGGGAAAAAAAAAACCTATCAGGTTACCGGAGAATTGTCAACAACATGCATAAAATTTCTACCATTTCATTCTTCGAACAAAGTGTCGGAATGAACATAGCATCATTTCCAAATTGTCCTTGAAGTTGAACTAGTGAAGAGGTACAATTCAGGATTTTTTGAAGTCTAGTCATTAGCTTCACGGAAAGTGGACATTATAGGATTTACGGATGTAGCTTTGCAACGCTACACAGATTTATATTGCATATAGTTTCCTTCTCTTGATTTGTTTTTTGTAAAAATTATTTTGGGGTTATGTTTCATGCATTATTACACATTTAATGATCAATTTTCTTTTGATGGATGTCTATTTTCTTAATTTTACAGTTGTGGTTGTGTGGATACATGGGAAGAAATGGTAACGCTATCTGATTTACTTGCAGGTCTTTGTGGCTTCCAGACTGAATGTTCCTGGAGCATGGCAGATGCCTCAGGTGATGCCACTAGAAATGCATTTCTTTTGGCTTTGAAAAGATTGTGGATTTGCCCTATGAAAAAGATTTTTATCCAGCTTTTTCTGTCTAGGGCCAAAGTTATTCATCTTAATTGAAAATTGATGAAGCTGATTATGTATTAACACTATTTTTGTTGAACAAATGAACAAATCCCATTTTGATATGGTATTAACAATGGGTCAGTGAGATGGACACCAGAGGGACTACCTGATTATCCTCACAGACCACCCCTAAATTCATAACTTTCAATTCATTTTTAATCATTGAAAAGATAAAAATATTCAACAATTCTTTTTTCACACCTGAAGCATCCATCGGCAGTTGAGTCTAGGACTCATCTAAATAAAAATTTCTACCACCTTGATAACACACTATATTCCAACGCATATACCCTATGGACTTTCACATCAGTCGCCCTTGTGGCATAAAATGTTGCATAAAAGCTAGGTCTCTCATGTCCTAACTTACAGAGATTTTCTTTTGTTAGTTTTTGTGTCTATTGTTTGTTCCTCATGTATATGTTCTTGATGACCTTGCTTGAGTTTATCTCGACTTTAAATGCAATTGCTTTCATCTTTTGGCGCCTCTCTATTCTCATTTTCTCATCCGTCTTTTGCCCAAAATATGATCTTTTATGATAATGTATATATATCTGGTTAATACTGATTGCTCCATGTTGGGTTGTCACTGTTAGGGAGGAATTGAAGATGGGGAAGAGCCAAAGTCTGCAGCATACAGGGAATTGCGAGAGGAAACTGGAGTAGTCTCTGCGGAAATTATTGCTGAGGTTGGTCTTTCTATAAATTGTATATTGCTCTAGTTTTTTATCCTCATAGTACCAAAGTACATCCTGGTCGGGCGGCAAAATCCTACATACGACCGTATTGTGATGATATACCGTAGTCAACTGTTCTTTGTTTTAATAAACTCAATTACCACTTCAAACTGAATTTTTTGCTTGTATTCCTGTTTATTAAGTGGATTTAAGGTTAACGGATGAGAATATTTGATCAATCTCTTTGAATGGTCGACGTGATGATATTACAGCTTGGCCATGTGTCAATTTAGTTAACTGGTCATCAAAATTCCATCTCGTAGCTTACCTTTCAAAGTAGGAAGTAAGAAGTTAAGGCCAGGGCTTGTATGATAGACACAACTAAATTCATCTACTGAATAACAGCAAAAATATTAAATAATATCATTGGTATGGAGCTTAACTGTAGTACGAAGCTAACCTTGAATTGATCTAATTTTATAATGATACTTTTTGGAATTTATCTAGTAATCTTGAAAAAATTAAAGGACTATTTTTCTCATACCAAGGTTGTTAATCGACAGGTTCCTAACTGGTTGACTTATAACTTCCCACCTGCTGTGAAGGCCAAAGTGAATCGTCTGTGGGGAGGTGAATGGCATGGACAGGCACAGAAGTGGTGAGCGATATGTATATATTAGTTTTTATTTTTGTGAAATTCTACTGAATGTCGGAAATCCATGTTACAAATTAAGTGTGTCTATTTTATTATGTGGCATTTGTTGTGCTGAATAATGCCGATGATTTCATTCATGAATTTTTTGGTGGCTTAACAATGATTTTCAATAAGATTTTGAATGGTTCATGCTTTTCGTGATTGATTTCCCCTAGCCCTAGCCCGTAATAGGATTTTCCTCCATCCTTGTTGGGACTTGAATCCTGCACTTTCCCCTTATGAGGGAGGAAGTATGAGATGTAACTCGAGCCATTGGCTGGTGGTGATTATTATCTGAAAAAAAGTCCTATTAATCAAGTGAAAGATGAAATTATGACACTCTTTTATGTGCTGCTTTCTGTTAGTTTTCACTTCCTCTTTTTCAGATACTTGTTCTCTTTACATGACCTTCCAAAAGTTTTGTTTCTTTATATTTCTGCCTCAAATTTATGGGTATATCTAGGGGCGGCTCAAATCAATTTAATATCTAAAGTGGAAACATTAAATGGAGGTCTTTTTATTTTTAGTATTGTAATTAGAAAAAGGTAATTTATTTTTAATTTTTTATGTGGGGGGAGACAAAAGAAAGATGTGTTAATATTATCAAGAAAGAAATTTCAACTTTTGTTTTTGTTTTTTTACCACAGAGAGGGTGTTTAATTTCAATTTTTGTTTTTTTTTAATTTTTTTTACTAGAGAGAGAGAGAGAGAGAGAGAGAGAGTAGGTGAGAGTAAATGTGAGTTGACTTTTAAGTTTTTATTTTTTATTTTTTAATTTCTATGTTTTTAATATTATAGATTGAATTATAGGCTCAAATTATTGCAATAAAAATTTTGATTGAATTTAATTTTTGGAGACTTTTTTATAGGGCTTAAAATTTAATAGATTTAATTGTTTTTGTGGGCTAGTGATGTAACTAAAATTATGGGCCTTCTAAAAATTTGGGGCTTAAAGCCCATGCTTTTTTTCCCATGCTGTTGGGCCGGCCCTGGTTATACCTCTACTTGGAGAATTATTTGTGCTTCCTTTTACCATTCAGGGAATATCACCTGACTGTATCAGCAGCACTTACAATACATTTACCATGTCAATATCTTGTTGCATAGCTAGCCAATAAGTTGGCGATCTGATTGTCAATTGTTCTCCCTCTAAAGTAGTGCACCATGTATACCTGCAACCTGTGCTCATGTTCTCTGTAAAGTCATAATTTGCTAACTTGCTTGAAGACAACCAAAAGTCGATGTCGCCATACCATAGCTGTGTTGAGATTTCGACCTGGAACTATTAGAAGAAATTGTTTGGTCCAGATGAAAAAACTAGAAATTTATCCTCCCCCCCAACCCCAAAACACACACACACACACACACCAACACCACCAAAAAAAAAAGGAAAAAAGGCAAAAAGGCGAGAGAACTTGAGAGTTTTTATTTTAATTAGTAGCTTGAATAATGCTAGTGTGGTTCCATGCTGAGCGGACAAGATGTATTAACATTTCTTCACAGGCAAGGTTGTTAGAGTTTCGTTAGGACAATGCTCCATACCTGTCCTCGCCAACTAAAAGAATTTGTAGGAATACCGTATTCGTTTTCTCCTTTACCTACATGTCCTACTCCTCACCCAAGTACGATTCGATCTATTTGATTGGCAATCATGTAGTTGCATATGAGTTCAATCTGAGTCATGTTTACTTCTCCTTGTCTGGTAGTTAAAGAGACCTTGTTTGATGAGAACTTGTTTTTATGCATGTGGGTAATTTTGGGATCAAAGAGGACTTGGACCCTGAAGTGAGGAAGCATGTTCAACAAACAGTTAGCAGTTCATTTGCCTTTAGATGACTGTTAGAATTCTTGATTTAGATGATATAGAAAAGTGAAATTTACTTGTAGGAAATGTTTGAGTTTGAATGTATATCGCAGAATGTCAGTAAGTTTTTCATCCAACTTTTGAAGAAAAATGAAAAAATCATCATCAATTTCAAGTTGTCTAGGAATAAAATCCACATGTCGTCCTTTGAAATGTTTTTTTATAATATGATATGCAATTTGTATCTCAAATCCTGATTGATTGGACCTAGAGCGCTGTCAAGTACTCATTTGCCTCAGCAAGATGTCGTGAGTTCCGGTCTGAGAATTAATCTTTTTTTCTTTTTGGTGAAGTAGTTTAAAGTGGGGACAAGATTACTTACCACTTACCTCTCTCTAGACTATTCTACAGGCGGGAGCCTTGTGTCATGGGTACGACTAAGCGTGATTGGGGAATTTTCTTTTATCATTTTATATCTGTACGGACTCCCCAAATTGAATGCGATGTTTTTAATCCTGAATACTGGCAATAGACCCTATTTGCCATAATCCCTAATGTCTTTGGCTTCTATAGATCAGCACTTGTGACAGAGTATTATCCTTGATAATTGAAAATTTTAGATCCTCCTCATCCCCTTTAATGATTGAGGAGCCTTTTCATATCAGGGATGCAATGTCATGATTTATCTTTCTGTGATGGATTTATCTCCAAACATGTGTACGAACAAATACAGTAAAGGGATTGCTTGCAACACTTTTCTTTGGTTTTAACGAATAGCACATACGAATTTGAGCTTTGCAAGTTTGCCAACATTTCTCCAATTTTCCAAAATCTCCATTATTGTTTGCTGAGCTAAATCTTCTTCATGTAATGATGAAAAATCTGCTTGATTTCCAACTTTGTATATATATATATATATATATGAAACTTGCTGCTGGTTTTAGCTTTCTGCTTGACAAGGAATTAGGACAATTAACAGGTTCCTTATGAGATTCACGAAAGATGACAGTGAGATCAACTTAGCAACTGGTGAAGCAAAACCAGAATTCTCCGAGTGGAAATGGACAAGCCCTGAAGAAGTCATTGAGCAGGTATGTTGCAAAGTTTCCTTACTAATCTGAAAATCATCCAATGTGTTGGTTTAAAAGGGCTTACTTTAACATGGAATGTGGCTGATTACAGGCAGTGGACTACAAGCGGCCAACATACGAGGAAGTTATGAGAACCTTCGGGCCTTTCTTGAAAGAAAGTGGAAAGCCTTCTAAATGCCAATCGTCAAAATGGTAAATGAAGTGAAAGTGGTCTTTGCAGCTCTCTCCATGTTTCTCACTTTCACTCACAAACAGTGGGGATCCAGAACTTGCTTTGCTACCTGTAAATCAATATGAAAGTTATTTTTGTGTTGTCTATGGATATGACAGTTGAAGCCTTTAGAATAGGCGTTTGCTTAAGTGAAGGAAAGTCTCAATCCTTTTTCATGATTTTGTTTATAAGGATTATTGTTATCAAATGAAGTATTATGGCGGTCCATCCAAAATGAAATGTCGATTTAAGCAAATATAAAATTTTTTTTTTTTTTTTTAATTATTTCGATTGTTGCTATTTGTTGAGGAGTGTACCCGTTTGAAGTCGATGTCAATTTACAGTGTCACCTGGAGTTAGGGCTGAGAATTGAACAAGTTTGAGTCGAATTTGTCGAGTGTATTTTTTTAATCTAACTTAAAAATTTATTCAAGTTTCACTCGTTTAGAAAACAAATCGAGCCGAATCGAGCCCAAAATAAGTTGAATTTAAGTCGAGCACAAGTATTTACACATAAACGAGTTGAGTCTGTCAAATTCAAGTTGAACTTGTTTTGTAAATAAGCTTAAAAAAATGTTTAAGTTCAGTTCATTTAAAAAACAAGTTGAGTCTGAATGAGTCAAAAAATGAGTCGAACTTAAATTGAGCTCGAATAATTCGACGCGATTGCCACTTTTACATGAAGCAGCGTGATTTTTTTTTTAATTAGCCACCAATGCCATTAAACCTTCGGCGTGATTACACTAAATTGCTGTTTAAAGAATATATATAGATTGCAATTACAATATTTTTGTGATTATTTAGATCATTTGGAATTGTAAATTTCACCCTAAAAAATTATAACTTCCATTTAAAATATAATAGTTTTTAGTACGAAATAACTTTTGGTACTGTAGTATTCATCCAATTTCAAACCAAAAATGTTACATCCACCAACATTTTTATCAATTTTTTTTTTATTCCAAATCAATATGAACCATGAGATTAGCATGGGCTCCGTCCAATGATTTTCAATCCGTCACATCATTTAAGATTTATAATATGATAAAAGATTTGGTGGATATAGCATTTTCCATTTCAAACATATATTGTGGGCAAATCAAACCACTGTCACCATCTAATTCCCTACCCGACACACCTTAACACAATTAATTTAATTTTATCTTACATTAAGTTGATTTTATTATGGTATCGAGTAATGATGTGCTTACTAAAAAAATCTTACCAAATCAAAAATAGATGATTGGATCAAAATGTTTAAAGAATTTTTTTAGGGTAAATTATAAAATGTCTTCTCCAAGTTTGGATCATATTGCAGTTAACTCCCTTAAATTTTAATTTTGACAATTTATCCCTTTACGTTTGAATAATTTTCAATTAACCTTTATCGTTAGTTGATCACTATTAAAAGTGACGAAAATTTATCACAAAAGTAGTCTCACACGACCTAAAATATAATTAAAAGCCCACAACTACCCTTAACTCAATATCTGCTGTAAAAATGAAATTCAAAAACAAAAAATCCGATTCCCTACACAAAAGCTGATGAGTGCTTTATGAAACCCAACTCCTTACTCCTCAAGTGAAACCCACCCCCACCCTCAAGCAACTGAAATCTTTTCCCTCGTCTAGTGAAATCTAATCTTCCCTCAACAGGTGATACCCAATTCGTTCTCCCCTCTGGGGAAATCAAAACTCACCTATACATTTCTTTCCCTCCTCTGATGAAATCGAAACCCATCCTTATCCCCACCCCCTATAGTAGTCCCCAAAACAGGCCAACCTAAAGAAAAATCTACCCTTTACTCAACATCACCTATTTGGAGAGAGAGAGAGAGGGGGGGGGGGGGGGAGAATTTTGTGTAATTGTGCTACGGTTGATTGGTTGGAATAGAAGGACGAAGGAAATAATGAGAAATTTCTAATGCTTGCAGTTAGAGCTGATAATTGAACAAGGTTAAATCAGTTTGAGCCAAGTCTAAAAAATTTGTTTTATTAATTGAACCTAAAATTTGTTTAAATTTAGTTCGTTTAAAAAATAAGCAAAGTCTGAACGAGCTCAAAATTAACCGAGTCTAAGTATTTATATATAAACGAGTCGAGTAAAGTGTATTGGGCACGTTTTTCAAATAAATTTAAAAATTTTTTTAAATTTGGCTAAACAAGTCACGAGCAAAAAATAAATCGAGTTTGAATACTTCCCGTTTAACTGACAACTCTATTTTCAATTGACAAGGACTGGTATAGAGATGACGAGTTGTTGAGGGACGGTTAGAGTTAAGATAGGTCAGAGAGATGTTGAGAGTATTTTAAAAAGTTTTATATTTTTCGCCCGCCCAATCAATCAATTTAGTCCTATAAAAATTTAAGGGAGCAAATTGGTGAAATTAAAATAAGAGAGTTAATTAACCCAATTTTAAATTTTTTTTTAATGAAATCCACTGGTCAAACTATTCACAATTCATGTGGTAAACTTGATGGTAAAAGTTTTTTTTTTTTTAAAAAGGTAGTGACAACATTTTCCCGTTAAATATTGTCACTGTCGGAAGTGGTGTTGCCGGTTTGCTACTTTCCCAATTTTCATCAGAGACAGTCGTCACTTTCCTCACCACCTATGGACCCCAAACCCCCATCTTCACCTGAAACTATGTCTCAATCACAGTCCCAGAACCCTTCTTCATACCCTTGCAATTCAATCGACACTACCCACCCCTCACCTAACACCCCCACCCGCACCCCCAACCTTACCACAACTACCATGCATGACCAGATACACAATCGAGCCATGGACAACTTCAGAGCTCTGGTCATGCAGTTCGCCACCGCTTCTAACCCAACCAAACCACTCTCTCCAGCCCTCACCTCCCTCATCGAAGAACGCCTCAACCACTTCTTCCCCAACCTTCACATTCCCAATCATCCCCCTTACCCTGCGGTATACCTATCCAATACTTTGGCTATATATATATGTGTGTGTGTGTGTGTGTGTGCCTGTGTGTATGTGCTCTTTTGATCGGTGTGTGTGTGTGTGGGCTTATAATGCATGCATGAATGTGTTTATCAGTTCTTTTGTATTTACATGTGTAAAATGAATGTTGGGTTTGAAATGAAGTGAGCCAAGAGCTATGAATTAGGTTGTTCAAGCATGTTGGTAATTGGTACTTTACTTTTTTTCACAATAGTCTGCAGCTGACCCTGTTGGTAGCTTTGGCTATTTTAGAACAATTTATAACTTATTTGATGCTTTGGATGGTTGTGTGGTGTACTGGAAGCAATCAAAACTGCTCTGGATGTATGGTAATGCTAATTTTTGGGCCCCTTAATAGCAGTAGCTTCCATTGCTTTATATTTTTGTAGGTTGCGTGAAGGGCTTTGTTACTATGCCTATTAGTGTCTATACTTGCATTTTGAATTGTTATTGTGTTGAAATTGGTTAGGAAATAATTATTAAAGAATGATTAAGAAGAAAGATGCAAATCGGTTGCTTCCCAAAGTCTACGCATATCTACCGTGTTTATATGTATGTATATGGAATATGTGGACGTATGTGTCTGTGTAAAACTATTGTGAGCTTGGTAAGTGTTTTTTTCCTGGTGAGTGAGCTTGTGAATTGTAATATTAAGAAAAGACAGATCTTTAGGGAAAAGTAAAAAATTGCCCAAATTTGCCACATTTAGCTAGGAGGCCATATCCACTCATTTTTCCAAGTCCATAATTTAATTTGAGACTTTGACCTCTGATGCATCATTGTTTTTATATTACATTGAAAAGTTAAAAAATCAGGTTGAGAATTTGGTAGCCAGAAAGGTCTTGTTAAACTTATTATTGTGCCTCTCCCTCTCTCCGAGCGTTACCATTAGTTTGTGTCAGTACATTTGATTTTTGTGGTTACACATGTCGATATGTATGAATCCCTTTGTGTGGGTGTCTTAACATGTTTATTAGTGCTCATGTGGGAAGTGATGATCTTGTGTGTGGTGTAATGTGTTTTTGGCACTTCGCAGATGATAAAGACAGCAATTGGGCAGTTGAATGAGGAAGGGGGTTCTAGTGAGGAGGCAATATCAGAGCTCATTCAAAAAGAGTATAATGATTTGCCGTGGGCTCATGTTACTTTACTCAGGCATCATTTGGGGAAGCTTTGTGAGAGTGGTGGTGTTGTTGTCACTTCTGATAAGTGCTTTTTGCTTCGTGATGCAATCACTAGCTCTATCCCCAGCCCTAGCTCGGATTCTAGCTTTAATAGTAGCGATAGCCTTGACTATAACCCTAGCATTAGTTCTAGCCATAGCTCTAGTCCTAGTCCCAGCTTTAGTCCTAACCATGAAAGGAAGCGGAGGCGGGAGCAGGGGAGGGGACGCGGTAGGCCGCGCAAGAAAAATGTGAGAGGAGGAAAAATTCAGATGAAGCAGAGGCAGGAGGAGGGGAGGGGACGGGGTAGGCCACCCAAGAGAAATATGAGAGGAGGAAAAATTCAGCTGATGCAGAGGCGGGGGCAGGGGAGGGGACGGGGTAGGCCGCGCAAGAATTATGCGAGAGAAGAAGATATTCACTTTAATGATGAGCAAATGGAAGTGGCTCAAATAGAAGATCAAGTAGAGCTAATTGAAGTGATTGTAGAAGAAAATCAAGATGGGGTGATTGTGGAACAGAGCCAACCGAAGGAAATGAAAGCTGAATTGATTGAAGAACAAAATCAAGCACAAGGACAGCATGAAGGCATAGAGAAACAAAATAAAACGCAATGGACTCGAGCATGTAAAAGTGAATCACCAGAACAAGAAGATATCTTAAACAAAGAATGGAATGAACGACAGAGACTAGTACTCACAGAACAACAGAATCTATCTGCGGAACAAGAGGATGATATGGATGAAGATCAAAATCAACAGAAAAAATATGCTGAAGTGTCTGAAGAGCAAAATAAGCCATTAAAACAGCAAAATGGAGTTACTTGTAAACAAGATCAGCAACAGGAACACAAAGTTGAAGTAACTGAGCATGCTGGACAACACGAACAAAGTGAAACGTCTGAAAAGAAAGATCAACAGGAAGAGAAACAAAGCAATTCGATTCAAGTGAAAAATCCATTAGGAAACCCTGATGAGTTCAGGACAGAGGCACTCCAATCATTTGATGATGGTGCGAACAGCATTCGTGATAACCTGATGGTTCTGTCCAATGAATCGCCTGGGTCAATAATGCAAGAAGGGAACAAAGTGGAGACGAAAGGGGAGCAGCATACAGAACGTCCATGTGGAGAATGGAAAATGTTTGATATTTGTGGTAGGCAGGCAAAACAACCACAACAACCAGAGCTTCCAAGTAGAGAAAGTTATCCAGAAATGAAACCAATGGAAGGACTGTCTTGGGCACAAGAAGAGGTAGAGCTTCACCATCCACCGAAGCCAGAGAGTCGGCCATGATGGCTCGACCTCTCAAACCTGGAGCAGCTGCGGGTATGACTTAATTAAGAGTTTTTGTTGCAACCTCGTTATGAGGAGAAGCAGGGGCGACCGGATAGCAATGGCTCAGGAAGGACTACTGATCTGAAACTTGGAACTGTTGGGGAATGGTTCCCATCAAGTCATCAGCTCCAGGATGTGTGGCGCAACTAGACTAGAGAGGTGTCGCTGCTGTTATCAGGATGATCCTCTATTCCAGCTCACCAAGGAGTCAAGAACTTGGTAAGGTTGCTAAGCACAAACCACCTGCTGGTATAATTATTATAAGCTCAAAGAAGCAGCATCAAACCAGGACTCAAAGCCGAGGAAAAATGCAAAATCTGGAGTATGAATTCAATGATAGTAACCATGATAATGGAAAATTTGTATTTTGCTTAGTTGCACCCGCATAACAGTGCTTGTAAAATGCATTTTTGTTAACAGTTAGACAATAGTCTCTTGGGTCCTTTTGAAGAATAGCTTGTTTCTAAGAGTGGGTATGTTGTTGAATATATCAAAGGCCAGTGACATGGTTATCTTCCTTGTTGGTACTTCTTATCTTATGAACCACATTTCAAGCTTCAACCAGGTAGTGGGATTTACTCAATGTCTATAGAGCTTCAAATGACTGAATTAGTTCTAAGGCGAAAATACAAAATCTAAGAGTACTTGAATATCAGAATAATCTGAGTGATAAACCAAGTAATGGATTTTATCAGTATTGATAAATGAGATGATTCAGTTTTTGTCTACAACAACAACAATCTTGACCAACTGCTTGTATCATTTATATTGATGGATTTGACTGTTAAATGATCAAATGTCGGTTTTCCTGCGTGGGGGTAAAATGGGTAGTCTAAGTTATTAAACTGATTAAATTTGACTGAAAGCTAAATCTGTCACAAGTTGTGACATTTAAAGGGTTCAGTGTAATTTTAGAAATAAAGAGGGGTGCGGTGAAAATATCAGAATTAACGATCGGTGTCTTTGTAATTTACCTTATATTTAATTTTAACGTATTTCAAATAGTAACACAGACGAGTCATGAATTTAAACCTTGACAATTACTTGGGCCAATGCCATAAAGGATTTATACCTCGTGGTACTCTAGTTCTAGCATTAATGACATGTCTTTGACCGAACCGAAAGAACTGAAGAGGAAATTAGTTGAGGTGTGCATAAATTAATTCGGACATCTTTGACCATTAAACTTAAAAAAAAAAAAAAAAGAAAAGAACTAACTACTTATGCATGGATCAATTTTTTATTTATATAATCCTTGACAATGAAATGAGGTAAGTATGTATCTCCCACCCACTTGATGAAAATATTACGAAATCTTCTTTGAGAATAGTTGAACCTACTTGGTAATCGTACCAAATTTGTTCAAAGATATGAGTTGAACAGTGAAGTCAAAACTCAATAGTACTAATACACGCATGAAAAATTTATTAAAATTTGTTCATGGCGTGATGAACCGGTAAACGAGAAGCTCAAAGAAATCAATGATTCTTCTTGGAGTAGCAGAAAAGAAGATGAATACTATCACTTTGATATGATTAGGGATAATTCGTATCTAAAGATAATTTGTAATATGAATGATTTTGAGAGAGATATTGGTGACCATTAGATAAGTCTATTTTTCAGATCGTCGAATGAGTTTATTGAAACTTATTCTATTTTATATTATAGACTAAGGATAACTAATGCCTGAAGATACGGTGCAATATGAATAATTTTAAGAGGAATGTTGATAATTGTTGAAATTGGATAAGTCTATTTGAGATTGTCGAATGCGCTTATTAAAGTCTATCATATTTTATATTATAAAATTGACTAAATAGATTATTTAACAAAAAATATGACTTTTATTTTAATACAGTATAATGACAAGATAAGATCTTGTATGTGACCCCCAAAGTATTGAGACAATGCTTTATTGAATTAAGTTAGGGAGCTCGGCGGTTGTCTCCTCTACCCACAATACCCCTTGTATTTAACATTATGATTCAATAAAAAATTAGGTAAATACTAATATTTTTGGATTTGTTTACTAACTTAATTTGTCGATGTAATTTAACAAAGTCATTGAATTAATAATAATTTCCATTCCCAACACATGTTAAGTCCAGTTAATGTAGAAATAATAATAGATTCGGTGTTTAATGTAGTAATACGTGAAAGGGTTTGGAATAAAATTCAAAGGATGGCAAGGTAAACTTCTGTCTTGGGGGGGGGGGGGGTTGAGGAAGTCCTCATCAAAGCTGTGGCGCAAGCTATTCCAACGCCATGTGTGAGATCCCAAAGTTTTAGGAATATTTTAAGTATAAAATATTAAGAGTTTTGAGGTGAAAGTATAAAATTTTTTTAAGTTTTGTGATTAATATATATAATTAGTGAAACATAGAAGAGCAAAGTATAAATATATATGTAACTTTTATGGTTATTAGTCTTCACACGTGTGACTTTGAAAAGAAGCAAAAGAAACAAAGAAAGATAAAAAAAAAAAGAAAGAAAATTGGTCAATGGGTGGTGGGTGAGTGAGAGTTAATGGGTGGTGGGTGACCGATAGTTAATCTAAGTTGTGTCGTGTTTTTCCATAAAAGGATAGAAGCATCATTGAAAAAAAAAAGGAAGAAGGAAAATACAGACAAGACAAGGATAAAAAGGTGGCCTTTGATTTAGAATTTAGATCGATGTCACTCAATTTGTGAAGTGAGATAATCCTTTAAGGTACGAGATTTTCCTTAATTTTTTTTTGTAAAGAGTATTCCTTTAACTATTATTTGATTTGTATTTTATATTGTGATATTATTATTTTTAAAATTTTGATTGAATATCGTTGAATATTTTAATCTCATTAATCGTGTTTTGTGAATATTGAGATGAGATCGTGGCATCCAATAGCCAATGTATTGCCAATCAAGAGACCCGTGAGATTGAGTTGAGGTGAGGTGATTGGTAAGGTGTCAGATCTGTGTTAAGATATTGCATGATGTGTGATATGTAAATATGATATTTGTATCTGTTGATTGAGATACTTTGTGATACTCGATTATTTGATATTTAATATCATTGAACATATTTTTTCTTGTCATAACTTATACTTCTCCGCTTTATTTAATATTTTCAGATTGATTTTAGAGAAAATATCGGAACGAGATATTCAAAGTATTAAAGATGAGAAGATGTCGATATAAATGATGTTTTATTCGTATTGGAAGATTTATTTGTATTGAGAAATAATTTTGATAAATAAAATTTTATTGGACAATTAGCGCTCTGTTTATTTTTATTTGAGTGTTTTTATATCAATTAACATTTTCGAAAAAAAAATGGGGGGTTACACCATGTCTTGCTTTAGGTTACCGAAATCCTTTTTTAATGAATTGAATAGTATCATGGCTAAGTTCATTGCAAAATTCATTGGATGAAGTGGAAGAAGCCTTGTCAATCAAATAGGAATGGTGGGTTGGGTTTCAAAAACATCGTGGCTTTTAATCTGACATTACTAGCGAAACAAGCTTGGCGTTTGCTAAAATACACTAATTCTTTACTTGTTAGGGTGTTAAAAGCAAACTAGTATCCATCTTGCTCTTTTATGGAAGCTCAACTTGGTTCTCAACCTTCATTTACTTAGAGAAGTATTCTAGAATCAAGGTTTGTTTTGGAAACATGGGTCAGATGGAGAGTTGGGAATGGAAGGAGTGTGAATATAAAGAAGGATAAGTGGCTCCCTAGACCCTCCACTTTCAAAGTGGCTATTATGGTTGACAACACTTTGGTTAGTTCTTTGATTAATAGAGATGAGAAGTGTTGGAATTATGATTATATCAGACACCATTTTTTGGATTTTGATGCGGATGATATGATTGCAATACCTATATGTGGACAGTTTCCAATTGATACCCAAGTTCGGCATCATACTAAATCAGGCTACTTCACTGTGAGGAGTGGATACCACCTTATTCATTAACAGAACTGATGGGACATTTTATGTGATCAAAGGGACGTGGCACGTGTCTCGACATATTGGTCGCAGAGTGTTCTTTGGACGACATGTGTTTTAGGCACCTCAGAGCTTTCTACAAGTGACACGTCATCTCGGCACTAAGGGTATCTCAAAGTCTACTAAGGGTATCTTGGAGCCCTCTACTAAGGGTACCTCGGAGTCCACTAAAGGTACTTCAGAGCCCTTCACTAAGGATACCTCAGAGCCCTCTACTAAAGGTACTTCGGAGTCCACCATTAAGGGTACTTCGGAGCCCTCCACTAAGGGTACCTCGGAGCCCTCCACTAAGGGTATCTTATAGTCCACCATTAAGGGTACCTTAGAGTCCACTAAAGGCACCTCGGAGCCCCCTACTAAAAGATATTTCAGAGTCCAAGACATGTTGTCCTCGGAGTCCACGACATATTGTCCGCGGAGTATTATCCACTTGACACGTCATCTTGACGTTAAGGCACTTCAGAGTTTTCATCACGTATCCTCGGCTCCAAAGGCTACTAATTGACAACTGGACACTTTCAGAACTAGATTAGAGATCACGAGGGTACTCTTCCCAACAAGGTCCGAATGACAAAATGAACAAGACACTCTACCAAGAAGAGTCAGACACGTGACATGAAGTACAAGTTGAGAGGTGAATGGATAAAAATGCCTCTGTTGACATGTAGCTATTTTAGACAAGCATTTAAAAAATTAGTTGATGGAACATCCATGATGGCTCTAGAAACCTAGAAAAAGGAGCATTAAATGTTCCAGATCCAAACATTTAATAACGGGGCCTCCCCATACAAAGTAGGAGGCGCATTGCCCCATATCTGGGTACTACCTACTGCCTAGGCCATCATAAATGATGGATCTTTGGAGGTATAAATAGTCTGTAAAAAACTTTGTAAAGGTACGCAAAATTAATTCTCAAGAACATTATACAGTGTTTTCTTTTTTCCCTCTCTCAAAGAAATGACTTGATTGTCGGAGAAAATACGCCGAAAAATATTTCTGCGCCCTTCTAACCCTTCTTTTGAGTGCCAGGACATGTTGAAAAATACTTCAGCACGCCGGAATCGATCGAACAACCTCAAGGTCAACTCATCACCATTCCTTAGGCCACTTGTGACCGTTCCTTTACCATGAGATTATCGACTTTCCAGGTAAACATGAGTTTACTAAGGGAGAGAGTTGTTTTTATTTATTTATTGTGCAAAAAAACGCCCCCACAAGAACCAACATAAATGGGTGGTCATTATGCAAATGGATGAATCATGAATGTTCCTTTACAAATGATGTTTGGAAGCTTGCAGGTTTTCATTTTCCTGATTCTTCGACATTCTCTTTCCAAAAATGAACGAAAACTGGGGTGGAAAAGCTGGATCAAAAGATGAGTTGTTTGATGCTGGTAATACTGTGGGTCATTTGGTTTAACAGGAATAAAGCTCGTCTTGGGGAGAACACCAGATCCTCTGCCCAAATAGTGGAGTTTGCAGTGGAATTTTATGATCAATTCCTAGGAACTCAGGAACCATAGTATCAGAATACTTATGCTGGGATTGATTCAGCAACTTGGCTGCCACCCATGCTCTTTGGGTGGCTGTTGATCTTGGTTTGCAAAAAGTGGTGCTAGAAGGAGACTCCAAAGTCTTTGATTGATTCCATTATGTGCAGACAGGAGAATCTATCTGAAATTGGTAATTTGGTGAATCAGATTCATTTCTATGCTCAACTATATGAAGAATGGTCTACATCTTGAGTTAGAAGAATAGACAATTGTGTGTCTCTCATCATTTCTCAACATGCTAAGTACTGCAATGAGAGGTGTATTTGGGGGAGGGGGGAGGCACCAGATTTTATTCTACCTTCCCTCCACTTTGATGTATCTAGTCATTTTTATTAATGAAATCCCATTTACCATTTCTTATCAAGAAAATAAAAAATAAAATAGCATTGTTTATAGTTACAACATAAATTGGGTTAAATTATGCATAAAAAGGTCAATTTCATTAAGTATTGGCTTAAAATTATGATCAATCCTAATTATTATAATTAATATAAATATTTTTGAATCGATTCTAAATAATTATATATTTTATTGTAATAGTATGTAATTTTAGGGGACGACTACCTTATCGAAATTTACATTTTTTTAAGGTTAAGTTATTTCTTTTTGAGGTAGAAATTACAATTAAAAAAGTGATAAAAGTTATAAGTTCTAAAAATAAAATTATTACTTTTTAAGGTTAAGTTACTCCTTTTAAAAGTGATGCTGCTATAACTATTCAGAGAAATATTCATGATCGATCATGAAATTACGTTAAAAATTATAAATTCATTTTTAAAAAATATAACTTAAAAAATAATATTTTTTTATTTATTTTTTTCAATGTTGAATTACCCTTAATTATGATTTGAACCTCATCACATTTAAAATTAAATTATAACTTTAGACTTGGGTGGCCCAAGAAAAAACCTCTTGCATATCCGAGGGAAGTTTAAATGGTAATAAAAACGAATTGTAAATTCAGACGTTTTGAGTTTGAATCTTGATTAATTTTTAAATCAGATCATGAAAATTTATCTCTCATAAATACTATAGTCTTGACGTAAATAACCTATTTTTTTATTGAATTATGAAGAGAATTAATCAAATAACGAATTTTGATAAAAATAAAAAAATTAAAAAACGTGTAAATTAACCCGAATATCTGGTAAAAAAAGAAAAAGAAAATGCAGAAAAGAAAAGTCTATCTGGTTTTTTAATGAGGTCTCGCCCGCCGACAGCTGAACTGAAACAAAAATTGACCAAATCTGAAATTGAATGGATCTAAATCCCCCTTTTTCCGCTTCTCTGTCACCGCCAAAGCTTTACTCCTTTTTGAAAAAAACTGCACCAAAGAACTTTCATGGAATCCCCTTCGCAAAAGCTCAGCTACTTCATACCCATTACTCAGTGCGTGTGTGTGTGTAGTCTGTGTTCGGTGGTGGTGATAAGATAAGGCTCGCAGTTTGAGACGTGCTTGCTTTTTCACGCATTCATTTCGTCGCTCACTTGAGGTTGAGGTGAAGATTGGGTGATCATTTATGGCTTTTTGTATATCCATTTCACTCTATTTTCTTATCTCACGTTTGTCTTCTTCTGCTTTTGTCAATTATACACACTATCTCTCTCTCTCTCTCACACACACACATACGCACATATACGTATAGATAGATGCCCACACTGAGACGCCAATGGAGTTGACACCTGACACTTTCAAATTGGAAGTCGATTTAATTGTGTTATGGAATTAGCCTTACAATTTTTAATTCAAAGTTGTGGTTTGATAGAGTCAGTGATTAGCTGGTCTTATATTCCTTTGACCGCTTCGTGGAAACATCTTCTCCTGTAAGAATTTGTGGAGGATCCTTGAGGTTTTGCCTTTGGAGACCAATTTCTTGGGCAAAGGAAACACAAAAGGTCTCTCTGCTACTTTACCTTCAATGGGTTTGCTGCTTATTCTCATTTGCTTTATAGTATTGATTGTTTCTCGAGTCCCATTGATCCAATTTCTGTATGATATGCGAGTTTTATGTATCAATAGAAAGATTAAGTGGGAGTTGGTTTTCTTTGATTTATGGGTTGAAGCTTATTGAGATATAGAGTTGTCGATAGAGATAGAACCCTATGGGTTCAATTAATTATAGGGAAAGAAAAAGTAACGAGCTTCTGTTCTTTAATTTGAATGATTACCTGATGTAATTAGACGTTAAAAATATAAATATTTTAGTGCCTGATCTGGGAAAGGATTCTCCCTTGAGTAGATTCTCGATTTTTTTAATGAATCCCAATTATAGCCATTCTCCATTATGGATTGGAGATGTGTGTGTAGAAGAAACAGTATATTGATAATTTTTTTTTTCTTTCCAAAATCAAAAGAGTGATTGGGTTGAAAAAATGACGGATTTCTAACTATCTTGTTATCCTATAACGAAAATAAACCAATTAAATGAAAATGAAAAATAGAGGCTATAGAATCTGTTGATTAGATTACTTGTCTCCGAGTTTTTATTTATTGTGCGACTTTGATGTGCCAGTTAGGTAACCATTTTAGAACCCAATTAATGCATTGGAGAGCAATTTTATTTGGAAGTTTTAAAAATTTGGTACTCTATTTGTAGGTATAATATATATATGTATATATTGTTTCGCCAAGTTTTATATTATTTTTCTTATAGTTGTTCATGCTCTAATGCCTGAATGCCGTGATTTAGATATAAAAATCGATGTGTTGGGCAATAAGGCCAACCAAGCCTTCAAATCAATTGGAAGAAATCAATGAAATTTGACCCAAGTTTTATTAGAGATGGGAACTTATCACCAATATAATGTTATGAAAAATGCTACTAATATGGTTAAGTTTATGCATGTACCATCCTCTTTCTTGTTTTCCTTTCAGGCATTTATGCTTCCTACAATCCTTAGTTTTGGGCCTAATCGGTTATATGTTTTCCTTCTAATTAAAGCTACATAAATTAGTTAACAACACTTCAAATATTTTATTATCTTTGTACCTATGAACCTGCACTAGCCCTAAATAATTCAACAGATAAATGCGATTCTAGATTCGTAAGCTCAAGTCTGTACTGTAGGTCAGGAATGAATCTAGTGGTGGGCTTTTCCTGGACGATGTTGGTTTCTGATCTTCTTGGTGACTTGGATCCACATGCAGATGTTTAAAGTATGATATCAATCGGAAGTCATATGTCCCTTCTGTGGTCACAATTCAGTTATTTCAGGATGAGAATCTAGTGCTTTTGAGCTTAGCAAAAAAATCTGAAGCATCTGAGATTTTGTTCAGATAAATCATCCTCTGTGTCATGGAAATAAAGATTATATTTATTTGCCCATGGGTAACTTAATAGGGAGATAACATTCTTTCTTCTATAATGGGCTTAATCTATTACTGTCTTGCATATATTCAAGTTTGGAACTTTGTTTGTCTTAGGCAAAAAGTCCACGTATAAATAGTTGGAGATGTTGGGATATAGGAATGTCTTGTCTTTGTATGCTGCATTTATCCATTTTCTATAATGTCATCTTTTTATTTTTCCTCATTTTCTACCTGTGATACATTTCTTTTTCCAATTGTTGCAATAACACCATGATCAATACCTGGAAGTTACGTAGTTAAGGGCAACTCCTTTGCTTTGTACACAAGTTGTCGTAATATTGTAATTGACTTCACCACCATTTTATGAACTATTATTGTTGTTTTTTTGTTCTGCTGTAGTTCATAATATTCTATATCACTACCTACTCACCAGAAATTTTAAGTTGGAGCTTCATATAGTTGAATCTGGAAACGGAATTTCCAGGGATGTCCAGTTTGCACACAAATTATTGTGCTGCTTACGCTAACGCAAATAGTGATGTGGACTTTCTTTTTCCTTTCTTAGTTGGTTTTTATTTATATTTTTATATTAGTGAGAGGACTAGTTATAGCACTAACCATAGCTTGTTTCAAATTCAGACCATGCTTGATAAAGAATTCTTCACTGACTATGGTGAGGCAAGTCTATACGAGATCCAAGAGGTTGTTGGCAAGGGAAGTTATGGCGTTGTTGCGGCTGCAGTTGATACTCACACTGGGGAGAGGGTAGCTATCAAAAAGATCAATAATGCTTTTGATCATGTTTCTGATGCCATTCGCATTCTTAGAGAAATCAAGCTTCTGCGGCTGCTTCGACATCCAGATATTGTAGAAATCAAACATATAATGCTTCCTCCATGCCGAAGGGAATTCAAAGATATATATGTTGTTTTTGAATTGATGGAATCGGATCTTCACCAAGTAATTAAGGCAAATGATGATCTCACTCCAGAACATCACCAGTTTTTCTTATACCAGCTTCTGCGCGCTTTAAAGTATATACATACTGGTAGGACTTTCTTTTTATCATATGATTTCCGTTGGGCATCCATATACTTATTGATATTCATCAAATTTTCTGGATTTTTTGCAGCAAATGTGTTCCATCGAGATATAAAGCCAAAAAATATCCTTGCTAATGCAGACTGCAAATTGAAAATTTGTGATTTTGGGCTTGCTCGTGCATCATTTAATGATGCCCCATCAGCTATCTTTTGGACTGTATGTGTCTCTTTCATGCAATAAAATTGTGAGGCTTAATGCCATTTTAAGAAATTTTATTCTTTCAAAATTTTAATCTGATCGGTAGTACGCCTTGATAATTTGTTAGTGAGCTGCAGCACATGTACAGATTTGTAAGTGCTTACTGACTTTTCTGTTTATATGTGCTTTCAAAGGATTATGTGGCAACTCGATGGTATCGTGCTCCTGAACTTTGTGGTTCCTTTTCCTCCAAAGTAAGTATAATGACATGTAGGTATATATGTATATGTATTTTTGTTTATGTATTTATAGATTCCCTGGTACAACATGGTTGTCACTTTAGATATTAAGTGTTGATGTTGCAATTTGTAGCATGTGAATTTGCTCTAGGAAACGTGGTTATATAGAACAAATCTGATGAAATCTTCTGCTGGCAATCCTCAATTGCTTGTCCCACCTCTTCCCCAAAGTCCTTTTCATTGTTAAGTTTCTTCGATTCGTTTAGTATTCACTGAACTAAATGCAACTAATGTGTGTGATATTGGGCTTGCCATTCCATGTCAGAGAATACATTTTTCAGCTGGCAGCAGTGGGCAAAACTCTGTCAATGGTCCATTTATCTAGGGCCATAGGGTAGTTCACTGATTTTTCCTTGTGTCTCTTTGTAATCATCCCTTGTTTTTCATTTGTTAATTTTCTTTGATTCCTCTAGTATTAACTGAACTAAATGCAACTTATATGCATGATATTGGTGGCCTTGCCATTACTTGTCAGAAGAATGCATTTTGCAGCTGGCAGCAGTGGGCTCTGTCAAAGGTCCATTTATCTATGGCCATAGGGTAGTTCACTGATTTTTTTCCTATGGTCTCTTTGTAATCATCCCTTCTTTTTCATTGGTTACATTTTGCTGAACTTATCTTTTCTGGAATTGATTCATTGAGAACGATGATATGCAAGATCCCTAGTTATTCCTAGTGTTATTAAGTTATTCATTCAGGCTCCAGTAACGTGGTTCATTGCATAAAGGTTTGACTGTGTATTTGGCCTCAGTTTTGCGTGTAAACCTTTTCAAAGCCACAAACTTGCATTATCCAAATGTATTTGCTTTTGAAATAACTGTTGCATGATAGTCAAAAAGTAACAAGTTTTTGTCGCAATTTGCTTACCATTCTTGTGGCTATGTTTGACACCGCGGGTCCTAGTCATACCATTCAGAATGCTAAAAAACCACAATACCACAAACCAATTTCCGAATTTGTTCGAACATTATTCCATAAACAAATCCTTCTTGAACCTCCAAACTAATCCGTCTCTGTCTAGCCCAAATTGCCAACATATTTTCTCTTGAAATTTGTGAAAAAATATCAATAACGTTGGGTAAGCAAAAATATGCTCAGTAAGTTGATCATATTCTAACATACACAGATTTCACAGTTAACCCAAAAGTAATTTTGATACATAAATAAAAGATTCTTTGTCAAACATTGAAATTTATTTTTGTGACTGGAGAACATGTAATCATCCCAAAGTCCCCATATCATCTTGTCAAACTTTTTAAGGACTTTCACACTAGGAAGATATGCTCCCTTATATACCACTCCGAACCTAAGCCTGAAGGCCACTAGGTCTTCAAGGCCGGTGAATGATACTCATGAAACACTCATTGGTCTCAATGCCATTCATAGGCTTTCTGTCTCTCAATCTGTGTGCACATACTTTTATTAAAAAACTATTTCCAAAATCCATCGTTTCATAGCCAACCCAAAATTTCTAATAATCGGCACAGTTTTCGAAAACACAATTGGATAAGAAATAGCGTAATTTGTCAAAATAGCCTGCTCAAAATTAAATAATATAGAAGCAATGCTTTTAAATTAATGTGAACATTATAAAGTTACAAAAAACTGAGTATCGTTGATTTTCAAAGGCAATTTTTGGATTTAACCTTACTTCCTCTTTCTTCCTCATTTGTCTCTCCTCTCTCTCCTTTCTTCTCTTATTTCTCTTGGTATATCTCTCTCTTTTCCTTTCCTATTTCTGCCCTATTTCTCTCTCTTCTTTCTCTTGGTTAATCTCTTTCCTTTCTTTCTTTCTCTTTCCTTCTCCTATGTCTTGTCCACGAAATTAGCCCCTTTTGAGGGAGCGCAAACTCCCTATTTATAGCATTTTTTAATTATAATAGTATCAAACTCAAAACCAATTGGCAATAAGTTGAGTGACCCTTCAACTTTGCAATCATTCCTTCTTTGTCTATTAATACTTTTTCCTGGGCACTGTTAGTACTCGAACCTTTATCCGATGGCGCACTTGTCATGCATTTAACTTGGTTGTCTTTGCAGCCACTAATCACGTAAGACATGATTGTTTCTCGTGTAAAGAATTGCTTGAGAAAATACTCGAGCAAAGTTATTGGTGTTCGAGAATACAATTTATAACCTTCATCTTCACCGATAGATATCTGAGAAGAAACTCTTGTTTTTACCCGATTGTGCCAAAAATCTTTATCGACAAATTTCGTGTGGTGCAATTACACAAAATATTGTCATGTTACAATCGTTGATTTGATTACAAAGTGGGATTCTCTCTTTGGTGTGCTTCTCATGCGCACAATCCTTTGATTCTCGGTTGGTTTGATAAAAATGAGGGTTGAGTTGACGTGTTTTTTGTTTTTCGATTCGGTGATACTTTGGTGGATTTGGTGAAGATGGGGTCAAATCAACGTAATTTTTGATCTTCAATTTGTTGGATTTCATCACAGTTCTTTGTGTTGATAGGCTTGAAGATGATTTGAATCTCATGACGGACCTAACAATGTACTCTTCTCCTCAGAGATGGATTTGCAAAACTTGGATGCAGTTGGATTCGGGTAGAGCTCTGTTGCTCTTCTTTTTTTCTGGCCTCCCCCATCTCCTCCCCAGCCTTCTATTTATAGAGTTAGTATTGGGTAATCTATAAAAAATTATGGGCTTTAATGAATTTGGACTTGGGATATTTTAGGCCCAAACCAATTTAGTTCCATTTTTATGTGCCCAATCTAATTTAGTTCCATATTTATAGGATTTATGGATTGGGATTTTATTATTTGTTTCTAGGAAATGAACTAAGTATATTCATCACCTTTGATAGTAATAAGGTCATAAGTAGGAGGCTGATTAGAGCCAAAGGATAAAACATCTTCCTGAGAAGATGCTTGATGAGCTGAAAGTGAAACAGGTTGTTTACTATGTAAATTCCAGCAGTGCTCCATTGTGTGGTTATTATGACCACAATGAGTGCAGTTGCGAGTGTCACAACCTCCACGAGAACTATTAGATCCACGTCGCATTCCAGGACCTCCTTTATCACCACGTCCTATACGAGAGTCACTAGACCCATTATGGGGAAACAACTAAAGCTGATCGATCACAGTTATGATTAGACAGAGTAGCATGCTGGAGACGAGAGAATACATCTGGAAGAGAGGGAAGCTTGAGATTGCCAAAAATCTGTGCACGGATGGATAGCCTTATACTCTGATCACAATCCAGTCAAAAAATAGACAACTTCAACATCATCACGTTGTTGTTTCAAACATCAGAAGATATTGGCTGATAAAACAACTTACATTCTTCACAACTTCCCATAACCTTAAAAAGTATTCGGCAAAAGTCAAAAGTGCCATAATCTGTGCATCTTGCATCTTCATGTTTCCATTTGGCAAAACCAGGATCACTATCTTTTGACTAGAGTTGGGCTGAACCGGCTGAACCAAGTGACTGGGAACCGGCTGGAGTTGGGCTTGGTCTTTGGATTTGATCTTGTTGGTTTTGATTGGGCCTAGTTTGGTTGGATCTGATATTGTTGGACTTGATCTGGTTGTGCTTCGTTTGGGTTGGGCTTAACCCAAATAGCTGATCCAAAACACCGTATAATCCAACATTGACTTGGATTCCGATGACCCTGTAGCGAAACAGGGTCTTCTCCTAGATTGAGACACTAGAATGAATTAGGGTATATATCGGCGATGCATGACAAGTGATGATCAACAGAGATGATAAACAGCAACGGAAAACGACACATTACCTACTCAATCAATCACAGCAATGCATAGAAGCATGATGACGACGGAGCAAAGGCATGACAACGACAACACCAAATCAGTCATCAACACATCCTTTGCCAGAGATGAAAATCAACTTCTTCCATATGGACTCCAAACTCAATTACCTACAGCCTGTAAATTCTGGAACCGCAGCAAGACAGAGAAGATTATAAGTGTTGCTCTTATACCATGTCAATGTGTGTGCTAGGAGAGAGAGAGAGAGAGAGAGGGAGAGAGAGAGACAATGAGAAACAGAAGTTAGACCCTACCTTCTCCCTCACCTCATATATATGTATCTAGATTTAACTAAAAGACCAATATACCCCTCTTCGGATATAGTTATTATATGAATGCCACTTATACATTCTAACATTTTTAGGTTTTTTTTTTGGGGTTTTGCCGGGTTGTATAACCTTTGCGTGTTACCCTCGTGCACAGGAGCTTTGCTGTCTCTTTATTGGTTTAGCAACATTATATTTTAACCGAGTGAGATTAGAGGAAAAATGTTGTGGTTCTAGTTGACTATTTAGAGTCAAAGATGATAGTGAAGTTACATGACTTTTTATGTCTGATGTATAAATGTAACCCAGAAAATCACATCAGTAATCTGCTCATTATCGGTTATATTTTGTCTCTTATTTCACAGCACTGATTGATAATGAGATACCATGTGCTTTTTTCTTATTATTACCAAGCTGCGGCTACAATTGTTCTTATATTAGTCTAAATTTTAAAAATGGGGCTAAATAATACTTGGATTCAATTATTGGCAATATGTCCTCAAAACTCTTTCATAAGATTTAATAAAACTTTGTATGTTGCAGTACACTCCAGCTATTGATATCTGGAGTATAGGATGTATATTTGCAGAAATGCTTGTTGGGAAACCACTGTTTCCTGGGAAGAATGTGGTGCACGAGTTGGATCTGATAACTGATTTGCTTGGCACGCCTCCTGCAGAATCCATTGCAAGGGTTTGTTCTCTCTCCCTATCAATCACTTTTTGAATTGATGAAGCTTCTCATAAGTTTAAACCAATCGGAATGTAAGATTTATATTCAGCTTGGTCGTGTTCTTAATAGGTCGTACCTAGTGCACAGGTTCCCATCTATAGCTGGTTCCAGGTTTAATTTTCTTAATTTGATTGTGACATCTGCAGATTCGAAATGAAAAGGCCAGAAGATATTTAAGTACCATGAGGAAGAAAGAACCTGTTCCTTTCTCACAGAAATTCCCTAATGCCGATCCATTGGCTCTTTGTTTACTTAAGCGTTTGCTTACTTTCGATCCCAAAGATCGTCCATCTGCGGAAGAGATAAGATTGATAAAACCAACTATTTAACATTACACTTTGCTTATGTTCAGTTCATGTATAATTCGACTTTTTTTTATTTTTTAAAATTTTTATTTCTATTTCTATTTGCTGATATTGGTGATTTTTTAACATTTACAGGCATTAGCTGATCCATATTTTTATGGTTTAGCAGATCTGAAGCAAGAACCATCCTCACAGCCCATTTCAAAACTTGAGTTTGAGTTTGAAAGGAGGAAATTGACAAAAGACGATGTAAGGGAGCTAATTTATAGAGAGGTAATGACCTAAGGGGGTGATCTTCTTGCTTGAGTTGTGTTATGTTTTTTGTCCACTACTTATGCTGTATTTTCTTTTAAAGCGAACAGATCTTGGAGTATCATCCACAAATGCTGCAGGAGTACCTTCGTGGTGTAGATCAGACTAGCTTCATGTATCCAAGGTCTGGCATTTTGGACCATTTTTTTCCCCGGTTCATTCGTCTCCCATTTCTGTGTGAGATGTGTTCAGGGCTGTTTCTATATGCTATGTCCATTGTACACATAGCTCCTCCAGGGCTGTGGAGTCTCTCTTAATTGATGCTTTGGATAAGAAGTGGAATGGTAGATCCTAGTGATTGTAACGTGATTCTTCTCTCCTAGGATACCCTGCCTCCTACTCATTTGTGAGTCTGTTATTTGGGTGATTCAATTTACTAGGAGATGTGAATGTCTATTTCTGACGGTTCCCATTTAGTTAGAAAAATTCATGATTTACGTAATACGAAGTTGGCGCTAAAGTACAGAGGATTAGAGGAAAATCCAAAATCGCCTTGTGTCGAAACAAAAATTTCCCCCGACTTTAGCTTGATATTCGCATGCGCGGCAGTCGAGCATTTTTTTCAGTGCACCAAGCAATGATCCCCTGAATATTGAAAGCAGAGAGGTTTAAATAATTTAGTCCTTCGTAGTTCTGTTTCAAGTAAAAAAAAAACCTAGATAAAGCCAATTTTGGAATTTCTAATCAAATCTTCTCCTCTCAGCCAGAATTCTATTGACATGATTTCTTATGTGCATGTTTGGATAAGTATTTAGTTCACACTGCTTGGACTCAATTTCTTGAACTTTGCATGTGAGAATTGGTTGAGTTCACTCCATGACAGTCGTGTTTGATGTAACAAACTCCTGGATCAATTGGATCTCGTTATTTTGAAGACTTGTGTTTACCTGGGTGCTTCCATTTCGTTTCAGTTGAAGAGAAAGAAATGTTTGTGTGTTGTGGCGTGTTCTATTTCCTTTTGATTCTTATGAGATACTTTGATTGAACTCCCTCATTTTCAGTGGAATTGATCGATTTAATCAACAATTTACCCATCTTGAGGAGCACTATGGTAAAGGAGAACAAAGTACTCCACTCCGAAAATATGCCTCCTTACCTAGGTGAAGTGTTCCCTGAAATGCTAACATTCTTCCAACACTGATAGGTGATTTTGTTATCAAAGGTTATTGTCATAATTGTGGCTCTGTTCTGTCAACAGGGAGCGGGTCTGTACACCCAAAGCCGAGACTATCGACGAGAACAGTGATTTTGAAGGGCGTACTGTAGCTGCTTTTGCACTTACATCTCCCCAAAATCCAACAAAACCACAGGGGTTCAAAGAATCAGAATCTGCTAACACAAATGTAGTAGTTATGGAGAATGGCCCTAACAAACCTAGCCATAGTGCCCGAGCCATGTCGAGAAGTTCTAGCATTAGTGCGTCCGAGTGTATAGGCTTAAAGGGAAGGGATAGCGAGGTAAGTGTTTTCTAAGTCGCTGGCAGATAGCGTTGGTGATTAGATAACTTTTTCACATGATCGAACACTTAATTTTTTAGAATTTTCTTTTCTGGAGCAACAAAAATTTTAACGATCAGATTTTTTGGGAACAATTTGCTCTTTAATAAACTAGACCTCTGATTTCTATACTAGCTGTAGATTTGTCCTATTTTCAAGTGCAAGGGATTGTGCCTTTTCTTTTCTAGGTGGTTGGGTTTTTTTTTTGTGTGTTGGGGAGGGGAGGGGGGAGGTTGGAGCTAGTCAATGATTGTGTATTTCTTCTATAATGTAACCCAATATTTAACTTCTGCTGATGAAATGCAAATTAGGAATAAAATGTGAGAAAACTTGGCAGAAGGGAAACATCTAGAAAAAATTTCAGGGGAGAGGGAATTTTATTTTGGGGTATGAACACATGGTACATCATAGAATGCGCTCTGTTGTCTTATCTGCTACCGTATTTTGCTCCAGGAGAAAGTATCCGACCAAAATGAAGCAGGGGTCAGCGGATTGTCACCAAAGCTGGCAGCTTTGTATGCTTGATTCTTTGCTTCCAGTCGGACAATCAGTTGAAATGCTTCAAATTTATAGCCACACCCCCAACTATCCTCCCCCCCCCTCCCCCTCCCCCTCCCCCTAGGAATTTCATAGGTGTTGCTAAACTTATGGTGTCCCCCATTGATGCATTACTATCAGTGTAACCATTAATTTTTCGTTTCAACTGTTCATTATAAACAGCTATACCTGCAGATGAAGCTGAGAATTGTCATTTTAAGGTTTTTTGTGGTCTTGATGTTTCATGCTTTCATATAAGCTCATACTGCAGATGCATTAGGCTTTTTCTGGTTTGTTGCTTCTGTTTGGACCTAGAAAGAAATAGAAGGAAGATCAGGCAACTCTACATTGGATAATACTGCAGTTCACAGATTTTCCAGTGTTTATCGTCTCAACCGGGACAATTGACCTATTCTTTAAATTCAAAACCGTCTCCTTTTTTTCCCCCAATCTTCACCTTCTCTTTTCTATGAATCATAAAGTTTTTGAAATTATATTATTTTTTTGTTGCTTAGAAAAAATGGATTCTATCACAAGTTAGGTGCATAAACATTGATGTTAAGGATCATCTATGCATAACAAAACCGTCTAACATCGTCATGTACGATTTAAGGTTCATAACCAAGTTGTTATTCCCATGCAAATTAAAGTTGCTTTGATTTAGGCCCGAGGAAAAGGACAACAGCGAAATTGTTCTCTGTTTTCCGTTGTGCCCATGCCTTGACGCAATCATACCATTGTGGTTGAGCATTGGACCTAATGAAAACTTTTTTGTATGTAAAGGTAAGGTTGTGTTCATTTGAGACGTTCCTAGACCCTGAAGTGGCGAAAACACTTGTGTCAAATACCCCCCATGTGGATCGTGTGTGAATAGGTGGTGGGGGTGGTGCAGGCTCATGAGTGAATTGGTGGTGGTTCACGAGGTTCAATCTCAACATGTGGATCGATCCTCCATCTCTGTTTCTTTATTCTCTATCCTAGCCTGAACTACAACAGCAAACTCAGCTTGAACTCCACTCTACTCTGCTTTATAGAGCTCTTGTTTAGAGGCCTCTTGGGTTTTTGTATATGGTCAGACACAAAACAAACTGCACCTTTACCAAGAACGAGTAATCAAAAGACTAAACGGTAGGCCATCTGACACTCACCTTCGTCAAACGCTTGTTGAATAACTCTTAAGAATCAACAATGTCAGATCAAGATCTGACCCAGTCCCTATAGTATGTAACATGTATGGGATGGTAAACTCTGAGATATAGGTTTTCAGGTCCATGTTGTAGTTGGCTATTACATTCAATATCTTATTTGGCCATTCGCTTTTGATAGAACTTCTGTTCCGCCCAATTGTCGGTAGGGGTGTTCATGGGCTGGACTGAATTAGGCCTACAAATTTTTTTCGGGCCAGACTAGATAGTGTAGACTTAAGTTCTTACTCAAGTGAGTTATCATGCGGGCCAGGCCGGACTGGGCTTTGGATAAAGATAGGTTATCCGCAGCACAACCCGTGAATCTTTTGTTGGGCGGGCCTGCTTGTGGAATTTTTTATATATAACTTTATTTAAAAATAATAAATATTTTTGTAACTTAATATTTGTGTAAATAATAAATAATTTTATTTTTAATTAAGGGATGAACTGCATCCAATAGAATGAATACATCTCAATTAAGTTGACACTTACTCACTTATCTATCAATTGCATTACTTTACCCTTTAAAACTTGTATGTTTAATACATTATTTATAATATCTAAATTTTTAAAATTTCAAATTTCAACATTGGGATACTTATTTCAAAATTTCAAATTTCGACATTGGGATACTTATTTCAAAATTTCAAATTTAATGGTTAAAAATATAACTTTTTTTCAAAGGAAGGGTGAACGGACTGTTTGGGCGAGCTCTTGGGCCGGGTAATAGGTTTGGGGACAAACCCAAGTCCTCTTTTTAAGGATATTGGGCTCGGGCTCAGGTTCGGGTAGGCAACTACTATCGGGCCTATCGAGTTTTGAACTTATTTTTTCGGGCCGTGTAATAAAACCCGTGGGTAACTTGGCCCATGGACACCCCTAACATCGGGATGAAGAATACCTTATAACTCAGATGCAACAACAGGGGAGCCCTCTAACAAAATGAATGTGCCCTAATGACAAACTATTTCCTGCATACAAAGAGCTGAAGTCTACCTGTTGGCTGATATATGCAGCAAAGCAAGACTCCAAAACATGAGGAAAACTAAAAATCCAACAATACGGCTTTTATTTTTTGACAGTCCGGTTCAAAACATCAGAATTCAGCAGTACACTTTGACAAAGAATGCAGCTTGATGCAGCTCTTGTAATGTAAAAATAGGTCCTTTTTAATGTCATATCAGCAAGCTTCTCTACACCTAACTTTTGTTTCAATTGGCATCAAGTAGCCTCAGATATTAATTTGAGTTTAGTGTTATTTATACAAGGAGAGATTTTCCACTCATATATAGTCTTGAGATTTGCATTCTCCTTCCATTAGCCACTTCCATCGAGTTGTCCATGGGAGACAAGGTGCGCCATGTATTGCTGAAGCATGAAATGAAAAATGCAGAAGGTTAAGAGCTGTGGACCTTTCATCCTACGCACATCTATATATTATATTTTCTCACCATAATCACATTGACTTAACCTAACAATAAAAGAAGTTTATGGCAGTATGTAAACCTATAGAGCCAGTGATGCATGACAAGGATGAGTGGACACCACATAATATCTTCCAGAAGAAGTGCTATGGATATTGCACTTGTTATTATTACACTACAAAACCAAGTAGCAAGATAAGCAATTCAGTAATCATATACTAGTGTAGATCTGTAATTGCATAAGTTGGTAGAAGGCCAAAATACCAGGAAAAGAACAACACAACGGTTTTAAGGGTCAAAGTTTTGCTCTTAGTCTTAAAGCTGGGTGAGTGTTGTTAGCTCCAAGATCAAACCAATGGCTATTCTGGAATGCTTTTCATCATGAAAATAAAGGCCTAAAGGCACTTCCTTTCAGTTGTAACAAGCTTTCTGACTTAAATTCGGTGCTTTGGAAGATATTTGAATCCTACAGTCCTACACAAGCCTGTGTTGGGGGACAACCAACTCCCTCCATTCCACTATTCCCCATACTGCAGGTGTAAGTGATTGGTTCCAATTATATGCAGACGCTCAATTACTTTCCCATTTGAGGCCATAACAAGAACATTAGCAAAGTTTTTATGCCCAATTCATCTTACCATTGAGAGATATTTTGCATCTATAATACAAAATTCTAATGCATCAAAGAAGTAATAATTCACCACATTGGCCCATGTTTTAAGGGCCTTATCCCCTTTAACTGCCATATTACTTTCATCCAAGAAGGTTATCAGGGCCTGTTCAACTCACCAAAAGAAATTATATGTCCAAATCATCTTACAAGGCCTTCACTGGTATATGTGATGCAGAAATGATAGTCACCACAGGACTGACCATCTAGCATCAGTTTTTAATGTAACATGATTCCTCAACCTACGAAAACCTCTAAAATCATGTGACAAATGAGAACAGGTAGTAAAAGCGTCAGCCACTATTTAGTGTTGCTAAACTTACCGCATGATATGCATAGGGAGATTTTCCCTGGCGTTCAAAATGTTTAGCCATGACGCACCATTCAATTGGTCCCCACTCTTCCTCTTCAAAGCAATTGCCAAGTGCAGCTTTATATAACTGCATATAAATTAAAACCTCAATCATCGTGCTCACAAAGAACCAATCTAAGTACGAAACCACCAACATTCAAAAATAGTGAAAAAGAAAAACCTCGTCAATGATCAAATTCAACAGACCTTAGCAGTGTCAGTTAGGAGTTCAGTTCCAGCAGGGTAAGAGGCATAGAATTGGTCAGCTCTAGAGTACCCAGCTCTAGTCCTACAATACCCAAATCAACAAAATAACAACAACCTTATATAATTCAGCAAAAATGATTCAAACCCAGATATATTTTCTCGCAAAATGATTAGAACCAAATGTTTTTAAGCATACTACAAGCCGTCAAAGTTGAAATTGACTCACGTATTGCTCGTGTACGCGTAGCTCAAGACTGCAACGAAGCAATAAAATCCAGTGTAGGACACAAGTCTTCGAAACTTTTGAATCTTCAAAATTTCTTTACAACCCTCATAGAGGTTCATGTTTGATGGTCACAAAAGCATACAAACTTTTTCCTGAAAAAATAAAGAGGAACTTCATTGAGACACTCGATCGAACATCTTGTGTTCTTGTAGTTTAACTAGTTACTAATCATTTGCAGGGGTTGCCTCAATTATATATTGGTACAAACAAATGAGAGAGAGAGAGAGAGAGAGAGAGAGAGAGAGAGAGAGAGAGAGAGAGTGGAGATGGAACTTACGCGCTCAGAATTCCAATTTATAGTCGTTAATCTGGTCTATCAGTTGTATTCTGCCGAAACGTGAGGATGAAAAGCAGAAAAACCGAAGCACACACTGAACGACGTCGCTTTAGGGATCTTAATCAGTTATTTGGTGGATCGGGTTGGATCGGATTTCTACCGACTACCGATTCAAATTCGATTTTATTATCTGTCGGATTTACGTGTGTAGTTTGTATCGGAATCCAATAAAGTGAGAATATCCGTTCTGATTTGATTAATTTTATTTTATTTGATGTTAATAAATTATTTCTACATTTGAATACAATTTTATTGATAAACACTAAATTACACTATTTATTTATATGATATTTGAATTGAAATATAATTAGATTAGAATTTGTTGATAAATCAAACTCTTATTAGGCATCATTGCTTGACATGCACATGTTCATTTTCATTATTCCATTGAAATTGTATTTTAGGTTGTACCAAAGTAAAACTAACTAAAAAATTGAAGGTTTAAAGAGATAGAATTTTAAAAATAAAAATCAAAGAAATGCAAATAAGAATACACTTATAATTGAATTGATTAGCGAGTACGCAACCAGTTTTCAAATAATTAAAAACTACTCTACAACTAGTGAGATTTTTTTTTTGGCTACAAATGTTCCGGCTTGCTCGATTTCAACTAGAATATGTCCTTAAAGAGACAATGGTAGCTAGCTCTAAGGGTATAAAAAAAATTAAATTTGAGGCCTCTGAATTATTAAGAGTGAAGTTCAATCATTAAACTACCCTAAAGGGTATCCTTCGCAATCTTGAAGAATCAAAATAACCCAAATGAGATCAAAGTTACGAAGTTGCTGCAGCTTTTGATCAGTTTCCTTTGGGTTTTTTCCAGATCTTTGATAGAGTTGCTCACTCACCTAAGCTTCCATTTTGAAAGTAGTAAGTGCCACCATTACCTGAATTGTCCATTTAAAGCTTGTAATTTGATGATATGTCTTGTCTGAATTTGATAATGATAATTTACGTGCAAATATACACGATCAACAAGTAATAAAGTGATAAGTAGAGTATCGTTTCTATGGAGAATTATTGCTAATAATATCCTAATACTAACTTTGTATCAATTCAATTTTATTTAAACAATTGGAATTGACTAAGAATTCACTAATTTAAAACTAAATCTAAACTTAATAATCAAAAGTTAAATTTACCGGAGAATTCAAAGTTATATATCAAATCTCTTCCGATAGTTAAATAAAATTATCTCTCCCAATTAAATTACTATATTCTTATGCAAAATAATTTGGAATATATTCATTAATTTAAACTCTCATAAAAGTTACACACGACATATAGGTATATTCCTATCTTATACTGTGACACACCAAAATCCGGGAGTCCTTTATTAGCCGTTGACCATCCGTCAACCTGCGAAAAAATACCCGTGATAGTCGCACACCTGGACTCCATGTTAGTAACATCCCCTTTACCGGGGTTTCAACCCATACGTAAAACCCGTGTTTGTTTTATCATTGGATCCAACCGTGGTGCAAAATACCATTATTCATACTCCATTATAGTTCATTTATATCCTTGGAACCCAAGAACTCATAGGCCGAAGGCTTGACAATGTATTTTTAAAATATCAGATTTTTGAAAATTTTTTCGGAAGATCGAGCATATTGGAACCCTATCTTTAAGAAAGATGTGTTGACCTTCCAGAAGGTGTATTAAACCTTCTGGAAGAAGTTACACACTGGATTCCCTCATTTTAAAAAAATGTGAAGACCTTCCGAAAGGTTAGAATTGACCTTCTGAAAGGTTTCACCCACTGTTCAACAATTTTTCCTTGTCTTTGTCCAAACCTTTCGGAAGGTTTTGCCCAGAATTGTCTGTTTCACTTATTTTTCCTTTCCAATTCATTCCAAACCTTCTCACAACCATCCCAAACATGTAAAATATAGTTTTCTACATTATAAATGTTCCATACAAGTTCTATAATATTTGATTTCATACATTTACATGTCAAAACATAGTTTTTAACAAAAGTTTTACAAAACTTCAAAACAAAAGTCATATTCCAGCTTTCTTCATCCATGATGTTCGAATTGGGAGCCTTCCACCGGTGTGTATCCCGCACCTGAAATATTTTTCCTTATAGGGTGAGCTACGCCCAATAGAGTATTTCTTATAGGGACTACTGCCCAACCTAAGTGCATATGCAATGTTCATATGCAACATTTCATAAACAACAACAGTTCCAATCAAGACTAATCAATTTATGTTAGAATGTAACATGTCGTGCCATGATATGAGATGATACCCACTCATGTAATTCAACCCGAGCTCTCACCGACTCCTTTCCCCCATGCAATGCCATGAGTATTAAGACTGGGCTCTCCAACCCTTGCCAATGGTTTCACTCATCCAATGACCATTTTAAAATTTTTGGGTCTTTCTTGGGGTGGGCATTTATGGACTTACACCAACAGTCACCCAATCGACATGGAATTCATGGACTTCCATCAACGGTTCCGCGAACACCGACACATTTTATGGGTTCTTATACCAACGGAAGTACGTATCCGAATTACCGAGTCTCTCACCCGAGGGATAGTCTAGCCCTTCTTGCTACCCCGACCCAATTCTTTTCATTCAACCGTGCGACTTAACCGGATATTCAATCCAACTTTTTCGAGCCCACCCATCATCCACCTACATGGTGTTTGATGCCAATCATGCAACCACACCCATAAAATGCGATGTCTCTGTGCATATGCAATGTAACGCACCATTGCTATTTTCATATCATGCTCACATGTAATAAATGTCATTTGAGCAACTTTAACGTATATTTTCATAATTCATGACCACTTATATCATATGCATATAATAGTCAAAATTTCATCTCAATGTTAATATATCAAAGAACATATATCAACATGTTCATATCCAACCATAGTCCATAATCATGTTATTTCATATATGTCAATAATACACTTAACTTTCAAAGCATAAATTAAACACATAGCATGTCCACATAATACAATTTTTTCTATGCAACACTTTAGGGAAAATTCACATAACCCCAAGGTATCAAATTCCATGGAATTACACACGCAATCACCACATATATCAATTCCAAGCTAGGAATTCATTTGTTAAATCTTTTGTATACCCATTTCATCAAATTTTATCAATTCTACATCCATAGGCAAGTGAAATATATCTCTATCAACCTACCCATTACATACAACACCCTAGGTTGTAAAATAAACTCAAGTAGGAAGGAACCCTACCTTTTGAAGCGTAAAAAACACATTGGGAAGCTCCAAAAACCCGATTTAAGCTAGAATCTTCTCCTCCCAAAAATTTTGTCCCTAGAATCTCTCCCAAAACTGACTTTCTTGGTATGGTTTTGTAGCCCACGTTGAGGAGAACAACTTTCCTTCTTGGCCCGAGTGAATCCGAGCACCGTGGAGTCGTAAATCGTAGAGAGAAGGTGGATAACTTTCTCTATTTTCCTCTCTTGTTTATCAGCTAACAGCTGGACAAGAGAATGGGGGAAAAATCTGTTTTGTTCCCCTTATTTATACTTCTTAATACTTGGCCCACAATCCGCCACACGACCCTCTTTTTTCCAGGTCAGTTTTCGCTCCGAAACGATTAAATTTCGTCCCGGTTTAAGTTCAAAATATTTTTATTTTAACTTACCTTAATTAATTTTCCAAATTTGGAAATTTTATTAAAAATTTCATTTTGGGGGTCACCCGAGACTCGACCACCTCGTAAAACGTAAAAAATTCGACTATCTCAGAATTCGATGAAATTTGACAGGGTAACTAAATTTTGTGAGATGAATCCAATAATGAGGTCCGTTTCGTTATCCGAGATCTAAAAAAATTTAGATTTTTAACCCATACTATAGCGACAAATTACCGTTTTACTCTTTTATAAAAAATTTAAATTTATCGGGTTTTACATATACACAAACCGCTATTCAATCCAAAGAAGAATTAACCAGACGTATGTCATCATATTTCGATCAAAACTTAGAATTCATCTTCCAATTTCATTTAGGTTATTAAATTAATTGTTGGCCACACAATCATATACTAAGTACAAAATATGACAAATAACTTATGTATGATTAATAGAATTAGACTCGAGAGTAGATTAATTTAACTAAACATCAGGTTCCGTTGCAATCTTAATAAAGATTTAGTTCATAATGTAATTGAAAAACATAATTCTCAAATTAAACAATATCTCAGAAAATCAAGAAGTAAAATTAAGAGAAACGAAAGAAAATTTAGTTGCCATCTTCACTTTCTCTCTAGCCTTCGATTATGATTTTCTTCATATCGCTTCCTTTGATTATTGTCTTCAATTTTCTTTTGATCATTTGGTATTTTCTATGTTAACAGCCCCCAAAATCAATATCTCCCTTTTCTTTTTAAAACCTAGCATCTCTCTCGCATTAGAATCCAATTTCGGGTCAAAAATAAGTCAGAATTTGTGTCCAGAGCCAACACAAGTGTCTCGGCGCTTGAATTGCGCTAGAAAGGCACTGTCTGGCCAGAATGTGGACACGTAGGCGCTGAAAATGTGCTGACCCCTTTTAAGTTTAAATGTTCCCTTGTTGCTTAGTCTTCAAAAATTCAACACTTAGGCTCCAAATTGACCTTGTTTCCTTTCAAATGATCTTGTTTGCTTCCAAATGATGATTCCTACCAAATAACATCAAAACACACAAAATAAATAAAAAGTAATATAAAGTAATTGAAAACTTACAAATTTATCAAGCTGAAAGTACTCAATTTGTAGGTATAAAACCCACTCATCAATATGACTAACGTAGATTTAATTGGGCCAGATCCAATAAATTAGATGAACGCAGATCAACTAAAATGATCCTTCAAGCCAAAATCGTGGATTTGACCTAGTCTAAGGTCCAAGAAGTTCAAGAAGATTAGAGCACGTGG